ATTGAAAAAACCATGGACTTGTCCATCTTTTCATGAAGTGTGACATCAGCTCATTTGCCATTCAGACAGATAAATAAAAAAAATTGTTGCAATAAGAAATAATGATGCAAAACATATGACATTATCATGTAAATACAATTGTATAGAGACAAAAATATAATGCCTCATACTGATTAATAACATACACCATATAATAAAAACCAGGATGTGTATGAGACATGTCATTGCATAATAATAACTGCTTGTAATATAAAAGATAGATATTACATTTCTTTAAACTGAGCTCTACCTAAGAAAAGGGTACTATTACATTACCCACCATCATTTAAAAAATACAATAGTAAATGATGCTAAGTGAGCTTTTAAAAATGCTTGAACACATTAAACATAATATAAGTTATACATATAATTAGTAAAAATCACGGGATCTTACCACATTTTATATTTATTTGCTGAGTTCCCGATATTTCGATTTTTACTAATTATACATATAAATAATGACAGCGTCAAGTTTAAAACAGTATATAATATAAGTTAGTCAAAATGTAAGCAAGTTAAATATCAGTAAAGTGAAATGGTAAACTATGGATGAATTTACTTTTGATATATTTTAGAACAATTAGTTTAAAATTTACTTAACATAAACTTAGTTTAAAATTGGTGTTAGATTTGATTAATTTCAAATTAGAACAACCCATAGCAGCAATGGTTTTGTATGGAAAATATATTTTATTTCATAATTATTATCTTGACTTACAAAGTGTGAATCCAATAAGACAAAAAATTGGTATGGCTTACAATACAAATGAATAAAAATGGTAAAAGGTAACTGGATTTAATTGTGTGATTCAAACTAATAACTTATACATATTATAGGTATTTTATGTGAAGGATAAATAAACACATCATATTCTAAAATTATCTAGTGATATTTCATGTAATTATAACTTTTATAATTATAACAGGAATCACACTGATCATAGCATAAAATATTATAAGGCAAGATATCAGGAGAAGGCTTATAGGTAGCGATTAAATTATTTTACCAGGTTAGGACTTAAGTTATACAATAACAAATATGACATGTGATTATTGGAGTAAGCAAGTCAATGAACTTTTCACTATTGTATTTGATTTTATAACTAAATAAATTCTTACTCCTTATAAATTATAATATGAATCGTGTCACTTTAAACGCATACCAATCAACTCTAACGATTTTGTAAAAAATGCCTCTGGCCAGTGATAGCAAAATGAACTGGTACAACCTCTGTCGACTTCCTGTCCTAACTACAAAATATGTGAGATAGACACGTATTTGCAACTAATGATTATTTAAAACATACGATTTCTACAGTAGACCCCTAAAACTTATAACAAATTGTGTGAAAGTAAGAAATTAGCCGTATGATTGTTAACTCGCTATGGGTAAGGCACTTACCAATTCATAATTTTGTTGGCACCAAATGTGACGTACGATAGAATTTATTAATTGGATATTTCAGCAATTTATTTCATTTATAAAAAGACCATTAAAAATGTAAGAATGTTTAATAAAAAGAAACACGTGTAAGTCGACTAATAGAAGCGACCTATTTGTATTTTGTATCGTTAGGTACTTAATTTTTTTTTATACGTTTATGGCTTGGTCAGATATTTATACATACTTAGGATTTGTGTTGCCAGAAAATTGTGTGACTATTCCCCCAATTATTAATAACCAAGGTACAAACGGCAAATGTTATTGATATTGACTTAATATTAAAGCGAGATAAAGTTTGTACTTACAGTTAAATAAGTACTATTATTTAATAAAATCTAATATATATTTTTCTTGTCGGAAAAATTAATTAGTGCATATGTCGGAGCCAACGGTATACACTGACTGGCGGCTGGAATATCAGTATGTATAGATTGTTATGAAGATAATAAAATCAGTTAGCATATCATGATGGATGTACTAGGAATTAGGAAATAGATTTACCAGAGTAATTTCAATAAGGTTATTGCTGCAAATGAGACAACCACAGAATTCTCAAAGATTAAAAATTGATTCGCCTTCGATCTTTTCTCAAATATATACCCTCAACATTTGGTGTTAACTCTAATCTGGCATCTCCGTCATACCATCTGACACCTAAGTCTTTGGTAGTCTGTGTTCGCCTTTTAACAGCACAGACTGACTCAAAAAAAAATTCAGTGTTAAGATCAATTTCAATGTCAGACGTCATTCTACCTCTTTTTTACAGATCTGTGAACTACTCTATGTGAACTGTAAAACAATAAATGTCAATTATCTATTTTTAAAATTACTTTTTATCGTTATCTATATTAAACCTTTAATTTGACCTTTTCTTTTGTTTTGTTAAATTAGCACATTTTGTTTAGCCTTTAGTGTTAAAATGGTAAACGCAAGCCTAGCTTACGAAATATTACTTTATATAAATTCGTTTTATTTCGGTCTATTTGCTACTTGTGAACTTGGTACATTAATTCTGAAATCCGTATTGATCATAGAAAAGTATGATGTAGACAAGGATCCCACAAAATTAGGTCAGGATTATGGCGTGTTATTGGGACTCTTTATTGTGGAAGCCGCTAGACTCATACTAGGTCGTAAGGGCAGTCTTAGCGAAAGAGGTAGGCGAGGTTTTGCTTTTATATCTAGACTAGATAGTGAATATTGAAATTAACTTTATTTAGTAATTATTCACATAACTTACATAGTTGTACTAATTCGACCAAAAATATACAAGTAGGCAGGAATGTAGCATTATTTTAACTTATATTGTTCTTTTCTCCATTGTTTTTTACTTTAATTTTTTGGTCACCTGTGTTTCTAAATATTTAATTTATTTTATTATGTTATAGATGTACCAGTAATGTTCTCAGTGCTGCTAACAGTTCCTTCTATCGTTGGTGTGCTGTACCTACTGATATGGCAAGTAGTGGTCCTAAGAATAGAATACATTTGGTGCACACTGATGCTGTCATTGCAAATGTTGGAGTTCACATTTGCATCAATGTTTGTTGTCACTATGTGCAGAGGGCCATCTTATGATTGATATATACCAATATATAGGTATTACATATTCATATAAAAATAAAATCAAGCCATCATAAAATTCAGATTTACTCTTCAATTAATAAACTATTTATTATATTTATTTTTTAGATAATAAGTTTTAAAAGATCTAATTTTAATGTTTTATTTTAAAAAAAACTGTCACTTTTATGTATGTCCAATGGGCAGTAATTGCTGCTATTGCATTTATTTACTTGCCTACAAATATATTTTATATTACATAGAATTTGTTTTATATTACAGCTTTAATGCATGCCTATTGCAGGAATACTGTCTGTTTCGTTATTATCGTAATATTCTTAAAAATTAGTTCTTAAAAATTAGTTCTATCTAAATTTTTAAGAATATTACAATAATTATGAATGTTATGTTTATGGATGTTTAACTTATATCAAACATTTTTTTGTATAAATTTGATAAGTGCACTTTGGCATGTCATAATTTATGATATTTTGAATGCCAGTTTATTCAATAGCTCAAATTTAGTTATCTGTACTTTAAAGTCTCATGCTGCTTACAACCTAGTCAATATTTTTTTACTTTAAGTTTATAAATCTGCTTCTGGAGATGAATATAACAGACTGTTTATTTTCTAACTAAATAAGTTGAAATTTCTGGGTTAGTCCATTAGTCTTGGTTTTAGCCCTTCTTTATTCAGTAGGTGCACAAATAAAATCCTTACAGGGTTTACAAGTGAACATATTTTAATATATTCAGTTGTAAAATATTTAACTTTCTTTCCAAATAGTAGTTGCATACCAATAATATACTTTTACATAGAATATAAAATGTGTACCTGGCCAGGATTTCCATAAAATATTTTAAAGGCAATAAATTAATAGAAAATTTTATGACATTGTTTTTGTGTGACACTGGTTTTAAATAAATATATTATATACCTACTTTATGAATGTATAGTGTGGTTTATATATTGATGTTGTGCTACTAAAATTTTATTAATATGTATACATATTTTTGAAATGCAGTTATACTGCAATTTTATTATAATATATAAACTAAAATATTACTCTTGTAATACTATAATACAAGTCTCTAGGTTTAAGTTTAAAATTAAATAGAGCAGCAGCAGACACTCGATATTTTTGTGAGAACATCATTTATGTAATATTATTACTTCATATTTAAAATAATACTTATTCATTGACATAGTTTTTCCTGATACATTCATCTGTGATGATATTTTCAGAAATTTGATAAAAAGTTTATAAATCCCATATATATGTGTAACTAAAGTGATAAAGTGGCCTTTATTTAGATGTTTATAGTATATAATCACTATCAAGTCAAATCTTCCATTGTGCAGTAGAAATTTATATTTTTAACACCAAAAATTATTTAACTATTATGTATAGGACTGCAGTATATTGTTGTTGCTAAGTTATTTTGATTGCTTATAAATTTATCTAGAAGATTTAATAGTAACTAAGTATAGTACCTAGTGTAAGATAAAACATAATTTATGTATTTTGATAAAACTGAAAATAACATTTGATGAACACTGATAATGTAATTGCCAAGCTACCCAGTTAAGGAAAACTTTTCTAGTCCATTAAAATAAGATCTTCATTTTTATAAGTACATACTTTATTTATAGTTAAAAATTCTAGTCCATTATGTATATATTCTAAGTAGACAAATACTTAATATTCATGAATATAATATTGACTACTCATACTTAGATATTTAAATTATCACATCCAATATCCAAGATGCCCAGTAACCATAGATGTACAACAATATAAAATTACTATCTTGGGGTACCATAACAACTTCCATACCTCTTTCAGATTAAATTAATTAAACATGTATGTTTCTGATAATTGTTACAATTTTATTGTTACAGATACATTGATATTTATTTTTCACTATAGTAAGTCTACATAATGTAGAGTTTGATTTTTATACCAATACTATATTTTTATTATTATTTTAAAGTAACTATAGAAAACTCATCATAATTAAGGATAAATTGTTTTCATTTGTTTTTCAAGATCATGCTTATGAAAAACGAAAGTTCTATTAATAAAAGTCTAATGTTAAAACAAACATTTGAAGTACAGTACACTCATATAATTGTGTGATCACAATGTGGGCCTCTTTAATATTGATATGTTATTCATGATTTCCTGGACCCTCGATTCATTGTATTGTTTAGGTAAAACAATTTTACTTAGCATTAGCACTGTTTGAGATGTTTGTATACATTTAAATATATATGTACAAGAACTGCTTTGATATTATTAGATGTTCATGTTTACACATTAAAAATTGTATTGAAGTGTACCTTTTTGTTGTGGAATAAAATATATTAACAGTTTGAATCATTTATAAATTGACTAGAATATTTTTCCAATATAAATGAGATACTATGATTCATAAAGATTCATGGGGCTTTCTATATTCTGCCTGTAAATATAATGGCATCCTTCCCTTGGCCATCTTATCCCTTTTGTGGACTCTCAACTCATGTCTCATAAGTGCTTTTCGTGTTCCATACTTATTGCCACACAGTTTACATCCAAAGTCCTTAATTCCAGCATGATCAGATTTGAAATGGGCACCCATATCATGCTTTGTATAAAACCCTCTTCCACACTCCGTACATTTATAAGGTCTATCTTTTTTATGAGTTAATAGATGCCTGTTCAAATTGCTTCTAGTTAAAAATCTCAATTCACATTTGTCACATGAAAAGGGCTTGTCTCCTGTATGAGTCCGCATATGAATCTTGAGCGATTCTAAAAATCGGCCCCTGTATGGGCACATTTGACATTTAAATGGCAAATCAAAACTGTGCAACTGGAGGTGCCTAAACAAGTTGTCCTTGCGATAAAGTTTTCCACACACTTCACAGATGAGATGTGAAGCTGATTGATGTCGTTCTAAATGTTTATTGTATAATTGGACAGTTAGCAATCTGTAACATATTGAACACTGGATTCGAACATTTCTATGCTGTTTCGAATTTTTATGTAGTAAATACTCTTCTTTAGTGGAATACTTAATATTACAAGTTTTACAGTTATAAGAATCGGGGGAAAGTTCATTAATTATGTCTTTAGCTCCATTTTCATCTCCCAAGAATGTGTTACTTGATTGTTCATCAGAAAAGTTAGACGAGTTACGTAGAAATCTATCAGAGTCTTTAGCAGACTTTCGAAAGATTATAGCGCCTTGTAATAAAGAATGGCAAGAATTGCATAAATATTTAGGATACTCATCATATTCACTTATGTCTATATCACCAAATATACGTATATCCTGAGAAATGTCTTCTTGAGACGAAAAAATAGGAATGTTACCTTTATTTAAACATATCCTACACTTCTGAAAATCTTTATTTTTGTTTAATTCAAATTCTTTGTCAATATTAATTGTAGATAATTGTTTTCTCAGTGCTTTTTGGCGTTTACGTCGTATTATTTTCATGATGAAATATGCGCTCGCCATATATATATAGATGTAATAGAAATTAGAAGTAAAGATTTTTTTATACAGTAAATATCGTTTTCTGTATTATTTTTTTAATTCATTCCAACCACAGACAACCCATAAACACGGATCAGACAAATTATAAATGACATTTTCAATGGGAAATTATTTACAAAGAAAACCGCTATTATGGACAAATTGGTAAATTATGTTAATTTAGATCTTATCTCATATTTAGATCTTATTGAAGATCGATGGTATTAAATGATGATAAAATATCTTTTTTATCGACAGTACTCTGTGTTCTGAAATTTCGTATTTTGTTGTGTTTGAAAATTTGACATGCACAGACGTGCCAAGCCATAAAATTTTTTTTTTGGTTCAGTTTTTCCCTTTATAGGGAAAGGCAAGCCATAAAGAAAATTTGACATTACGCTGTCAGTTTAGTGTCTGAGAAAAAAACATAGAAAGAACTAGTATTTAGTAAATAAATTTTTCTGAAAATCAATACAAAATTAAATAATTATCGAATAAAAAAAAGGTGTTGTACTCTTAATGAGTAGATCCAAGGAGGATTTATCTCAACTGATATCTACTATTCCTTTTTTATTTTATAATTACCTACATTGAATTCTAAATTGCCTTAATGCTTTTGAAGTCCTTAGTTTACTAGATACTAAATAAACTATTGTAAATATTTAATAATAGGTGATGTACGAGTTTTAGTTCATAGGTTCATACCTAAATAGAAAAAGGTAATAAATTTCTAAACCGATCTAACAATAATGACTACATCATACTATTTGTTGCGAATGTTAAAAAACAAAAAACCAAACGTACATAATTACTATTTGGATTTGCCGAAAAAATCTATAAAAACAAAAGTTGACCTACATACAAAATGCAGAGTTTGCCTTGAAAATGGTACAATATCTATATATAATGAAAATTCTGACGCTGTTGCGGCTTTGCAATATTTTGGTGATATTGTAATTAATGACGATGATGAATATCCAAAATTACTATGTGATACTTGTTTTGAATTTATTAAAGCTGCTATGTTGTTCAGAAGTACAGCCAAACGTTCGGACGAATTACTACGAAAACAAGTTAAAGAAGAAACTGATGTAGCAGAAATCTTGGATAGTACTTTAGATTCCGATTTCGATAACACTGACTGTATAACATATGATAATCCAGCTACTCAGAAATGGTTAAATGAATCTAAACTTGAAGATGAAAGTGTTAAAATAGAGGAAAAGAAAGAGAAAAGTAAACATACACTTAAAGTTACGTGTCATATCTGTCACAAGATTATAAATCGGTCATATTATAAAGAGCATATTACAATGCATGATCCAGATCACAAGAAATATGTTTGTGATGTTTGTGGGAAGTCATTTAGATTACGTTGTGCATATCACAATCATAGCTTAAGGCACAGGAATGATTTTCCATATAAATGTACATTTTGTCCATATAAAGGACGTTATGCAGAATTGTTAAAAACACATATGAGGACACACACTGGAGATTATCGATACATGTGTACTGAATGTCCTGCCAGATTTTTATTTAAAAGCAACCTTAATAGTCACATGTTAAAACATAAAGAGCCACAGTATAAATGTGATGCCTGTAAAAGGGGCTTTCATACAAAGCTCATGTTGCAGAGACATTTTGAAGCTGACCATTTAGGAATAAAGAATCATGTTTGCAATATGTGTGGTAAGGCATTTGGATATAGAAATGCAATGATGAAACATCAAAGACATGTGCATAAAAGAGAAAAGTTGCTCTTTGGCAGAATGCCCTCATATTTAGAAGCAGAAAATAAAAAACAAGATGGTAATCATTTTATGTCTGTTAGATCACCACTAAACCAAGTATCCCCTTGAGGTAATAATACTAATCCCATAAATAATACAAATTATTTATGGGACACCTGTAAGTGAACGGTTATTGACGATGGTTGACGATCAGTTACTATCAGAAAAATAAGGTCATACATATTACATGGTTCCATTATGTAGTTTAATATTAATATATTAAAAATATTGAGTAGTGAGATTGCTGTATTATTATGATTATTAAAAAAACTTACTTTTGTTAATTACATTTATTCCTTTTACAATTGATGGACACATATATTTTTTTTATATTTCTGTTAGCATGGGTTTATAACATTAACTTTATTATTACTGAATTTCCAGATATCTGTCTTAATGTATTAAACATTTTCAGATAAATGTTGAAATGTCAAGTGTTGTTAAAACTTAAATTAATATAATTTGATAATGTCTGACTATGCCATCTGAGATAACTATGATGAAGAAATATAGGTTTTTATATATTTGATCATAACTGTTTAAATTATTATTAAATAATTATAGTTACCTTTTCCTTTAGTCAACTTTTCACGTTTATGTACTTTCAACTGATGATTCATCATACCATTTCTGTATCCAAAAGCTAAGCCACAAATATTACAAATATGATTTTTAATACCCAAATGGTCCACTTTATGATGTCTTTCTAATCCCAGTTTGGAATAAAAATCTATGACATTTATTAAATTTGAAGTCAATCGGTCCTCTTTCTTTTCAAATGTATGCTTAAATTCCTTTTAATAAATTTAGCTGGACATTTTGGACATATATAGTTATAATCTCCAGTATGCCGAACATGAATTTCTCACTGATGCATGGCTTTTGTAAGGACAAAACATACATTTATATTTTAAATCATTAGTATGTGTCATTGCATGAAACTTTAATGTTGTTAATCGTTTGTATATTTTCCCACATTTGTCACAAACAAAGTGTTTGTTTGATTCAGGGTTTCTAATATCAACATATTCCGCTAAATGGTTATCTGTATCTCCAGTTGAAAGACTTTGTATTTTAGTATAATGAATACGCTTCATATGATGTTTGAGGTAAGTTTGCTTAATTTTCTTTTTGCATATTGGACACTGGGTTTCTTTTGTAATGTTCCTATTTTTTAAATCATAAGATTTAACAATATTGTTTAGTGATTCCTTTACAAATTCCTGACATATTTCATTTTTTAATTTCGGTTTCTTATTTACATATTTTTCTTTATTATCAGGAACTATGATCATGATTACATCTTCATTTTCATCTTTATTTTCTGTTTCATTAATACTGCAGTCAACCTGTTCTGTTAAAATCTCATCAACAGAATTTTCATTTATGCATTTATGATACTTTTGCACATTAATAGTTTCACAAGAATCTGTCAATGAATAAAACATTTCATCATGAAGATCATTTTTAAAGGAATTCTGTGATGCATATTTAGTTTGTCTTAGGAGGTGGTCGGACTGTTTTGCGTTACTTCTAAAGGTTATTGCGCCTTGTAGTAACTTGTAACAGGATTTACAAAGATGACTTGGCAGAGAGTCACTGGGGTGTAATTTTATGTCACCAAAGGTTCTCACTTCAGCTGACATGTCCGGGTGATAAGAGCTTCCGTGTATCGGGATTATCCCTAGGTCCAAGCATACTCTACATTTTTGGAACAATTCATCTGGTAAACATATATTAGATAAATTTCCAATATACCTGTGGGATTTACGAATTTCCATTCTTGTATCTCTTTTCATAAACTAAATAGGCAACACCAATAATGAACAATGAAGAGGAAAGGAGTAGAACAGGATTTGTAATACAAACTGTATAATTAACAATTTAGTAATTATGAAATAGAGTGTATATTGTTTTGGATTCAATTTATAAATAAATATTTTGTTTATATTACAAATTAAACTGAAATTTAAAAGCTACACAACTTACTCTATGAAACATATGAATGACATACAGTCACAGATGACAGTACTGATAGGGATGCGACCGATTTTTCGAAAAATAGCTTTTAATATGATTCATAGACGAAAATCTAATCAGTGAATCAATCTAGAAAATCGATATTCGTTTTTTGTGTTGATAAGAATAATAAAATTATATACATTTACTAAATAACTCATGATGTTTCTCCGTGCTCAGTTTTCTTAGCCCCTCCATCAAAGATACCATTAACGACTCGCAGAGTACAAACATTTATATTCATGAGTATGTTTTATATCTAAATTATGCATATATTTACAAAACAATGTATGTACAGTGGGTTGCCAAATTAATAGGGACAGTCACGAAATATTCGTTTTTTGTAAAATATTGGTCTATAATTAATTAAAAACGTCACTTTAGGCATAATTATATTTAATAATATCAGACACATATCTTATAATGAATTTACTATAATAATTTAATATTTGAACAACTAGAAAATATAAACAAGCAAATAAAAATGATGATGGGAAATTATTAGTATTTTGTCATTTTCATCTTTATTTATCAGTGTTGAATCCGCCTCATACTTTCAATACACTGTTTAGCAACCTTTTATTTCTTGTGAAACCATAATTTATTAATTTTTCAATTAACAGAATTTTCATTTATTGGTAATTTCATTTTCTATGGGATTCATTTTGCAGGCCAAGGTAATGGAATGTTGTGGTCTTCCAAAAATTTGGTTACACTGCTTTATGACAATGAATCGTGCATAAACATTTCATCATTCGAACCATTCCTTTGCGGCAAAGCGATTTCTAATACTGCTTGTATTGGTCCTGTTTGGTTCCCTGGACGATATAGAGGCGCCCAACTCCTTTTGTGCTGATGACAGACCATACCATTAACAGGGTTTTAATTCGTTCCACTATGTAATCAGTGAACTTATGGGCAGATTTTTTGTTGGCAAATTTCAAATGACTTGGAGAAAGTACCTAAAAAAATATAGAAACTATTTATAATTTTTGTAAATATGATTTTATATAACACAAATAAAATTAACCATAGAACACTTTCAGTCTTCAACATGTTCAGGCGGTGCTCACGATAAGCAGCCTTTTCTTTTTCATCGCCTCTGTTAATCGGGTTTCTTAACTGGACGATGACCTATCAGGCCTTCCTCTGCCATACTTCGCTACATTCTTTTTGAAACACGTATTCATCTATCTGAGTTAAAAATCCATACTTTTCTTTCTGTTTTGCAAGCAGATATCTCGAATTTACCTATCGGAACGTGTTGTTGTGATACGTTTTCTGCCATTCCTTTTCTTTTGGGCGAAATCTGATTTTCTAAATTTAATTTTATACGGCAGATTTCGATATCCAATAATGATCATCAGAGTGATTTGTGTGTAGGAGAAGGGTTTTAACCTCGGATTTTTTCTCGGAGTCAAATCTACACCCATAGCCAAAGTGAAAAAATAAAAATAAATTAAAATTGTTCTAAAATCCGCTCCAAAATACTTTAATTTTAATTATAGTAAAATATTACTTACTTGCAGGTATATTATTTCACAAAACCACTAAAGAAATTTTAAAAGAATAATTTACAACTTTCACTTTTACACATGTGAATGACTGTGTGTCTCTCCCGTCATTAAAATATATTTCCAAAATAAACACAATGGCATTGAAATTCACTTTGAATTTGAGTTATAGACCATACAGAACATAAAAACTTCAGCAAAAAACTTTTAATGACAAAAACAGTCAAGACCACTTGAAGAACAAAAATTATAAAAAATGATAGGGATGCGTCCGATTAATTTGGAAAAATGTATGTATTTATATCAGTTGTCTACTACCTATCCATACCACAAGCTCTGGTTATCTTGGTACAGCCTTCGAGCCGGACTAGAATAATATTAGTAGTAGTAGTGGTATATTTTATCCACAAGTGGATAGGCAAAGGTACGAGACCATACAGCCTAATCTTCAGTAGTATTTCCATGAAATTAAAAAATTCTTCAAGGCGATATCGCCAAATCTTTTCATTAATTATAAGTTTGTGTTAAGTCCATGTATGTGTCCATAATTGAAATTTTTATAATTCTCCGATTGTTGCTATGATGAAGTCGTAAATTGGTTTAAAAGTTGCAGTGCATTTGAATAATTCTTGAAGCGATGGCTAATAATCATATATTCTTGAAGCTTAGCAATGAGCAAAATGTTTAATGAAGGCCGGGCAATCAAAAAATATATGTTCTAATGTTTGATTTTCGTTACTAGAGCATAAAAGACAAATCGGAGAATTAATGATCTTCAATCGGTGTAAATGTGCATTGAATTTACAATGTCCTAGAATAATATTATCCATCTAGGATGGCACTGTTATTTGAGTTGTCCTGAAATATTATTATTATTATCTGTGTGTTTTATTTTTGTTGATTATAGTGTGCGTAATTTTTTTACTGACGGTCGATATCGCATTTCTATATTTTATATTAAAACTACATACTCGAAAATAATCGAATTTATTATTTCTCAATTTACTAATATATGTGGACATTTCATATAGCGCTGTCTATTCTGAAACAATGCCTGTATTATTATACCATTTCATGCTTAGTAAAGTCAATAACAGATACAACATACATTTATGTTGTTTTTTTTTATTTTTCGATTGTTTTATGAGATTTTGATCAGAATATATTTAAATATATGTTTTTAAGACACTCGCTGTCCCTAAATAACTCTGAGCATTTTAGCAAGTCACAAAGCAGACATTACTGGAGCAATTTATCACTGATGCCACTAGTGTAGTATATGTTAGTTTATTTCCAGAATAAATAATAATAACCTTGGATAATTCACAAATTATTTACATTCATAAATGAAATACTATGTAATTCCAATGTAAATCCAGGTTCTTAAATGTTCTGTAGCTAAACAAAAAAGTAAGGAAGGTATCAAAATTAAACAAACTGTTCTCAAAAGCAATTTAATCTATAAAATAAATAGTTAAAAAAAACAATAGGTACATCTATTGTGTTATAATCATCACAGAAAAGAATTGAATTCTTTAATAATTTCTACAAGATTCGATAATAATATCAGACAGGGTCTAAACAGATTTTTATAACTGGACTGTCTCATGTAGGGTTTATCAAAACTTAGCAAGATAGGTACATAGGCGGATATAACTGTACCTAATAAAACAAGCGTTTCACACTTCAAGTAGAGAGGTTATAGTATAAGTCAAATATTTTATACAGGATAAATTATATTTAAAACAATGTTCACGTCACAGAAATAAATTAAAAAGTGTATCTAAAATTAAAGATTTTGGTTATCGTATTTTAATTTAACAAACTATGTTAGCTATATTTCTAAGTTTAACCTCTTCCCTCTACATCTACACAGACATTACTAGCGTTACACTCAGGCAGACAATGTAATAAAACGCCTCTTCACTATTTATATTATGTTTTCCTACAATAACTATAATTTTACTCAGCATTATCAATTTAGTTAGTACGTATAATTTAGTATATAACTAATTTAACAGCATTTTTTTGTAGAGGTAACAGCATTTAGACTATTTTAAATTAAATTTATATTTTAAGTAAAATCGATGTAGCAGGTCATATTAAGATATTAAATAATATTCATATAATTGTAGATTTGATATTGTTAGGTAAAGATAAAAATAGTGTACAAAATTGGTATAAAAAAAATAGATTAATTACAAAGCATTTGTATTACAAATTATATTTTTTACTTCACTACATGAATACCCTCGGGAAAGTTAAATAGATACTAAATTATCTACGGGTCTTTGGTTCTCATATAAACGCAGTTAGAAAACATATTGCCGGAATGCTAATTTATGCTAGTGGAGAATAATTGAAATTATGGGATTTGGTAGTGACTACTACCTTCTTTCTACTTGCCATAGTTACTTGTATGTTAATTTTCCGTTAATTTATAAATAGACAGTAGAATTAACTACGGGTATTTAATTGCTAAGAAAAGTACATCGCGATGGTCCTTAAACAAAGTTTTAGTCACCACCACGATATACATTTCTTTTATCATTTTTACTAAGTTTTTACTACAAGAAGTAAATTATATAACAAACAGAGAGCAGTACGCCGCGTCATCGTGTGCAATAAATACTTATATTTTCCATTTTATTTATTAAAATTTTTTAAAAGTTTTAAGTTTTACTCTTACATTAAAAAAGGTAAAATGGCTATAAAAATTACAGAACTTTTCGTAACAGTTACAGAACATACATATGTAATTCGTCTTTTTTCACACGCGATGCGACGGGGCGGTCATCAGGATCTTCAATATTCGATACTTTATAGAGAGAAACGAAACAGGCCCATAGATGGCGCTGTGAATAAATATACCTACGTGGATTAAATACTGTTCTTTTCTATTTGTCAAATTGTATATACAAGGAAGCAACTTATGAACGTATAGTACATTTTAAATACAACATCAATATAAAATATTACAATTTGGTGCATTATTTTTCTATTTTCGTAATTAACAAATTCTAACCTTAACAATTAAAAGCAAAATTTTGTCTAATTTATACTGAAGCCTAAAACGTTTTAGATGTAGAAATAGTGTGTATAACTTCTGGAATTTCTAGGCCTTATTTTAAATTGATCATTGGTTTTATCTGTTGACTTGACTTTGATCATGATATTATTTAGTGAACTGAAATGAAGTTTACAGTTATATTCAGTATATAAATTAATTACGTGCACTTTTAATACATTCCATTTCAATAAATCGAGTGAAGAATATTATGAGATATTTTCTATAAATCTTATACATCTACTATATATAAAATACTCATGAAATTAGAATATAGAGTAATACATTGTTTTTTATACATTCTCCAGTGCGTTGCAAAGTTTACTCATTTTTACAGATATGATTGCAGCCAGACCAGAAATATAAAAAAACTCAATTCAGAACGCAGAATATCACCAATAAGTATGACTAATTTTAACTAACTTTATTTTTTATGTATTGTTCCCAATAGCAGTAGTCATGTTTTTCAAAAGGATTTAGTGAAATTGGAATACAAAGACTGATAAAATCTATTAAAAACTCGATTACTTGTAAAGCTTCGAAATATTTCTATATATATCTAGTGCAGACTGTTGTTGGCAATAAAGAAGTTAACATTTATCATAATGTATTTTATTTAATAAGACCTAATACCGACATAATCAGTTTTAATATATAATTTACATTATTATTACGTTTCATAAATAATAATAACTGGAGTATAATTTAATAATACAATTTCTTCAATATGTAAATATTAATAATACTGTATATTTATGATAATATTAACCAACACATATTATATTGATTACTTAATCGAACTTTGTGACAGAAAACATATATGTAAAATATTGGACACTTACATTCAGTACATTTGCTAATATTTGCGGGACGTACGCATAATAAAGAAATGTGGGTACAAAAGTTCGGCAACTTTTGTATAATTACTATACATCTTATAATACTAATAAATTTTGTTACGTGATTTATAGCCGTAAGCTGTACGTTCATAGAACAGATAATTCTTATTAAGAGTGTACAACGCATAGGCGGCATGGAGCTATAAATACAGCGGTGTGGATTATTATCTATTTGCGTATACGTTACGATGAAGGTTTTTTTTGTCGCACTACTCTAATGCTATTGGCTACAGCTGGCATTTACAGCTTCAGCGTATGATAGGGGGCGAGTACGAATGGCACTCGAAACCTGCCTATTCCTGCCTAACGGATACGACTTTATTCTAATGGCACCGCTAGGGGTTTAAACCTCGGGACCATGGAGTCTAGAAATCACTGTTTATGGTTAAAAGCTTCATATTAATATTAATTTTCAAAAACATGGTACACATAGGTTTGCATTGACTTTCATGATTAAATACAAAAGTAATATCATGCGAAATTAGCATTTCAACAGATACTCAGTACTAACTTTGTGTTAAAGAAGTCTTTTATATTGTAACTCTTCGTCTTCTTTTATATAAAAAATTTTGAACATTAAGCTAAACTTTTTATTAACAATACATATCATATTATTTTTTTATAATTTTAGGTATCTACTTACGTTTCAGCTAAATGTAGCTACAAAGCTTTTATTTCATTTTGCCATCATCATCATTTGGAATAACATCGGATACAAGTCTATTTGTATCGCGACAATTTGGTGTTTATAATTTTGCATAATGTATAACTAAACTACATACATATTAAAAGATAAATATGTACTATTACGTGTTACTAGAATTACATGGAAGACTACGTACACATAATCAAAATTTATTATTATAATATACATATTAACATAAACTGAATGAGGATTTTTGTAAAAGTGCTCAATTAATATTACAGTTCATACAGGTACAAGGTTTGGAAACGGAATGAGGAACGAGAAATTCAAAACAATTACAAAATAGAGGATCTATTTTGGAATTGTTTTGAGTTTCTCATTACCACTTGCTGTATTTGTCTTTTGAAAACTCATTCAATATCTGTATTAAGGTATTGTATAACATCTATATAAAAAAAATCAACGCAACATATGAGTTATGACATTTTTGGCGGTTTAAAACAAACTTACAACTCGCCCTTGACCGCGTATACTTAAACGATTACTTGTTCTCCAAATTATAAATTACACAAATCGGCAAAGAATATCCATACACTATGTACAATCATAAAAGGAATTGCAATTCCATTTTTTAAAGTCAATCAATAACTGGGACACGACTCCTTTATAAATATATAAATATAATAAAAAAAAATTGAAAATAGACAATATTCTATAATGGAATGTTTCTAATAGTCTTCAATACACGATATATATTTTTGCGACAGTGTGCAATTTAAGAGTAAGTATGAATAATATAAATCTAAATTCTAATCACAATAATTTCTCTATAATTATATGCCCGAAACTGTGTACACATAATTCTAATTTAATTATTTTATATTTGTAATATTATAACAATTATTCTAATGTAAAAAAAGAATACTGACAGTACCATAATCCATCCACCTACAAAACAAGCGTGCCTTATTTTTTCTATTTACTCTATCGCAACAGGGGCAGTTTATAATATCAGTATAATATATCCCGCGCAAACGCAAACAACACATTTACAATACAAATCACGTTAAAAGAAAATCTATTCCTGGAAGAATTTTAAGTAGGTAGGTGTTGTAAAGGTTACAATAAAAAAACCTAAAAATTATACAATATCTGATAGTTTTCACTAAATTATTTTTATTTATTGAAACAACAATAATTTTTATTTAATTGTTCAAGCCACCTCTACCTAACTGGAAAACTTCAAGCATTATACTATAACATTCATAGTAACTGGCTCTAATTCTAAAAATAGAAAGACTGGATTCTTTTTTACATATATGTATCTATATTCCATGAACTTTATTTTAACTGCCAGACAATATAAGCGACTAGCCTTGACGACGGCAGTATCCTATAAAATTGAGTTCATATTGATAATGGGTATCTCATAGGATAGGCTCGCAAGAAACAAACATTAAATTCTCTAAGAATCGTCAACATGAATAAAAATATATTCAAAATAGTCACATAATAAGTTAATTAAATATATAATATAATAAAATAAACTACGAAAACACTCCTTTCTTTAGAAAAGAAAATAAATTATAGCCAACTCATTCTATTATTTTAAACAAATGTTGATAACGTGCATACAAGATTACTTAAAAAGTATAAATTAATAGAATAAGTAGCTAAGCGAGCGATTATTAAGAGTGGTTCGTCAATATACATGCCATAGATAACATCAAATTCTTGCTAACCTGGTAGGTAAAATATTTGAAACAAAGTATTACAAATATTACAAAGCCACAAGACGGGTATTGCATCCGCGCCATTTTTCCTGTAGTTTTTTATGTTCTTCATATTGTTGTTCGCTAACATGCTTCACAGCTGAAGCTGAAGATGACTGTGAAGGAATAAAAAAAATGGGATTAATTAAATACGTTATAATATTATTCACTGTCTTAAAATAATTATTATAATATAATAGTGCACTCAAAAACAACAAATTTTTTTCATAATCTAGGTATATAAATATATATCATTATAAGTTACGATAGAAAACATCGAGCGACTTCTTAAGCCTTTACTCCGTTTTTAAATTTCAGAATAAAAATAATAAATCTAAGCAATGACAGTATTTGGTCCCAAATTACGACTTGTTTTATGCATACTAGAGAGCTGATTGATATACACAGCACGGATGCAAGAGGAAAATATAAAAACAGATTTCCTCACCTTGATCTTCCTCGGATCTAAATTCGCACCTAAGGATTGTACACCTTTAGCTAATTTTGATAGCGGCGAGAGTACCATCTCCCTAGTAGCACTGGATACTGGACTGGCAATATTTTTAAGCTGCTTGAGCGCTGACTCACTGTGTGATTGTGCTATATTTAGCGTAATCTCGTGCTGTGAATTCGAACGTGTATGGAAACTTGCGCCTTCAGTTGCGATGGTTTGATTCTCTTCATAGTTCACATCGTTGGAGCTATGTGATAGTTTCTGAGACAGTAATAGAGAGCTGGGCGGTAGTGGCTTTGTACTTTCGCCTTCAACTTGTATTTCAGGCGTTCTCAACACCTCTAATTCCATGTCGAAGGGATTTATTTTGTTCATCTGATTCGGAGTTTTTAACGACTGTTTTTCTATGTTCATAGGCAATTGTCTAGGCACAAATTCTACTTTCTCGTGTTCTATTTTTGACGAATACAGTGGGTTTTCTATTAAATCGCAGTCGTTGTCGGTCTCACTCTTCTGTCCCGTTTTACCAATGTAGTGCTGTGTGTTTTCGAAATTGTCTAAAGTGGGTTCGAAGATGTTAGTTCTATTTTCATCGTCTGATGAATAGTCAGAACTCAAGCCATCAGACAGGCTGCCCTTTTTTTTATCGGGTTTGTTTTGTCCTAAAGTGAAGATCTTCTTGGTGCGGGAGGCGCTCTGGTCGAATTTTAATTGGAGGCTGGGTCGTGCTCGGGCGTTTAGTGAGTGGCTCAGCTTGTTGAGTTTGCTGAACTGTTCCGTCATGTTGTTGAGGGCTTTTGATCCTGATAATTTATAACATTCATTTAAACACAGAAATTTTAATATTTATAATAAACATTACATTAAAAACAGGAATTATAGAACGGAGGAGGAAAAATAGTATGAGAGTCAAGAAGTTTATTGATTATATTTAGTTGTTTTGTCAGCGCAGAAATTTAGTTTCCCGTTCTTATATAAATTATTGGATTTCTATATGCTATAGTCGTTTTTTTATGGGTGAATCTTTATCTCATGATTCGCGAAACCAATTTTGTTAAAGGGTACCATCATTTTTAGGTTAATATCTTACCACGTTTAGGCATATTCTTGTGATGATATTATAAACAAGCAGATAAATAATTAAAACAGATAATCTACGATAATGTCTATTATCTTACCTGTAATCTACGAAAATTTGATATCATTTACTAGCATGTCAGAGTTCAATTACATTTTAAAACTCATTTAATACAGACGAAGTCAAGTTTACAAGAAATGCTATCTAAGAGTGATACAGTGCATCGCACTAACTAACAGGAATGAACCGACACTCCGTCGCATGCACACCCTTGGCCAGCAACACTATTTGATCAAGGACTGCACTGGTTCCAGTTGGTTGGCGTTGCTGTACGTCTAGGAATGGACGGAGACAGGATAGGAATTAAGGCTTAATAAAGGATTGGAATAATTTAATAGTAGTATAATTTATATTAATTAGTTTATTATATGATATTGTTGGTAGAATTAGAAAACTTATATGGCTAATTCAAATAAAATATGGGAAAGGGTCACAAAATTTCTAGAAGTATAAAGGGAACAGCGCTGGTTTCTCACAGTGTAACATAGTGTAATTAATAAGTGTTCAGCAGTTTTTGCGCGAATGCGCGACAGACAGACAGGTAGAGTTACTTTCGCATTTATAATGTTAGTGAGGATTATGTACTGTATTGTATGTAGTAGCATAATTTTTGTGATGTAACGTACCAACGCTGCGTATGTCCGCCACGAGTTGCGTCTCGCTGACGTTCCGGGTGAGTGATGGCAGCCGCGACACGTCCACGTAGAGAGACGACCGTGCACCCGCACCAGCAGCGCCCGGTTGTGGCTGACATATGACATAGCAAAACAAGAAACATGATATAAAAAAATGTAGTTGTGGTTCTTGCCAGTTCTTCTCAATTGAATCTGTATACCGTAATCTCGGTAAATCGGTAGGGAAAAAATATTAATACAAAAAATGTTGATATGGCGTTTATACGGTCCTGCATGAATAATTGATTTTTTATTTGATTTGGTTAATAATAATATATCGCCACAACTGTTATTCCAGATGGGGTAGACAGAGGATTTTTTTAAAGACTGACAATGTAATGCTTTTTATAGTTGATAATGGTATGATGCTGTAGTGTATAGTGTACATATATAATTAATAATCCACAGTAATAAATGCATCTATATCCGAAATCTTTGTGATATCATCTACCCTCACAAAGTGGAGAATGATAAAATGAGCATTAAGACAACTAAACTATTAGGTCGGACATATATTTGTTAACAATTAATAATTAGTCTATATACTAACAATCCCCCTCCCACAGAAATGGAATATCGTTCCCATCTGCACTTACAAAATTACATATTAAAGAACACTTTGAGAGTCATGTGTCGCCTATACCCTTAATATTACTCTCTCTAAAATACAGTTTACACCAGAAACCTCTTTCCCAGAAATTGATTACGAGTACAGTGGGCTAATTATCTAACTTCGTTCTCAACGATTTGCGTATGTAACGTAGTGAAAATGACGTCATCTGTCAATAATGCGATTATATTGACGCCAGTTGACGAAATCAAAATTGCAACGTAAACGCATTACATATTATAAAAATTATTTAATCGAATCTCGATTTAGTAACCTTTTGCAACGTCACGTAATCGCTATTTTGCCGAAATGACAGCGTGGAATTGAAACTTTTTTACATTATGAGAAACAATTTAGAAGGTTTTCTTTTGGTTCAATCTTTAAAATATCAGCATTAGCAGCATTATTTATCTTGTTTTGGTAATTTTCAGTATTACATATATTTTTATTATATTAAACATTACATAGAAAGTCGTGAAAAGGTTTTAAATTTATTAAAATGAGAAAATTGTCACGACTCACAACATGACATCAGTGTTGCCAATTCGATATTTTATTTTCGTCCCAAATCACATAGAATGTTGTACTAACTAGAGTAAATGTTTAATATAAAATTAGGGTTGATTATGATATTAATATAATTAAAAAACTATTTCAATGAATATGGTGCTCTGCGAACGGAATACAACGTTTATGATGCTCTGTGATTTGTTTAAAGTAAATAAATTTATTTGTTTAAAGTTTTTACAATTATGTACAAATTTAAAAAGATGTGCCCATATCATTCTAAATTTATATGGATACCTCTGTACTTACATAGGTATCTATAGCAGAAAAGAATATTTAATTTGTAGGTTAGATTAATATTATTAATGATTATAAATAGTTTGTATAAAATATGCTTTTATATTCAAAATTATTAACCTTATTTTATCATTAGAATAGAATAGACTTTCTTTATTTTATTTTATTAAATGTCTATTAATAAAATTAAAATAAAAGAACAAGTGAACGCTGCAGTATATTTTGTAATTTTTGAACGCAATAAAAATTGTTTCAAATCAACAAACTAGTGTATTAACCCAATAATTTAAAATGTATCCCTCTAAAGGTATAAGCTATCTAATGTACTGACTTTTTAAATTGGTCGGATTAACAATATTCCGCTGCAACTTCATAGTAGTGTTTTATCGATAGAAATGATTTATGTTGCGGTCATTCGACCTTACTTGATCGCATTTTTTAAATCGAAATGATTTTATATTGCATCACAATTTCAACAGAAACAATTTCATATCGTGTTACATAATTAGCCCACAGGTATCCACGCAGATGACAATGTACACATAATGGATCAAATCATTCAGCTATTATAAAGGCTAAGTAGTATTAGATATTAATAAAATACATACCTTTGACTTCTTGCGTTCCAACTTGACACCGTCATGGAACGGTATTTTGACAACTAAACTACATCACGCGCCATACTATTGATTCACATATCGAATGCAGCGATTCTGTTCAATAAAAATATAACAATTCACTTTTTTGCCATTCGGAAATTATGAGGGCATATACAAAGCAATATGTATAGAGGGCATATAAAAATGAAATTAGAGGATAAAATTCTGTAAATACGTGTATATTGCGGGCGTATCAATCTACGCCCGCAATATACACGTATACTGATAAAGTGCTTTTGTTACATTTGTAACATTTTCAATGTTTTACAGACTTACGGGAAAGAGAAAATATCTATCATATTATTACTTAGTCATAATTAAAATAAAATATTCACATATATTTTTTTAACAAAAGCTAATCTCATAAAATCTTTTTATCATATGTCATAACTTTATAATGCCTTATTTTTGCGTATGGTAAAGTAATTCATTACAGAAATACAAGTAATATTTGTGTATTTATAAATACTACAGTAGAAACAATTATAAAATAAAAATATATTACCAATCATCTCGTCCTTGGTGTTGATGACGACAGCCATATTGTTAAAGAAACGCAGAGACGTGGATCGGAACATGTGGAAGTAGCCTGCCTCGCCATTATACGTGTAGTTGACGCGTATACAGAACACCGGTTCAGTACTGCTCTTGCGGCCTACACCGAAGATCTGCAAAATATGACTTCACTTAATAACCAATAAGATTCCATAATTATAATAATAAGCCTGGACAATTCATACAGCGCCATCTAGTCTCAAGCTAAACAGAACTTATCTTATGGCTACTAGACAACTGATGCAAATACATAGATATTTCATTTTATAAATTATGTACAAAATAAACATACATAGTAGTACATACATAAATTACAACATAAAATATCTATGTACTTAGACCAACCGGAACACCCTCAAACCGATACAAACAATCATACTCATGAATACAAAAGTTTGTTCCGAGCGAAAAATAGAACCCGAGGCCGTATAATATCTTCTAATAGCAATTAAACCATATGCAATTATTATCAATACTGTCAGGGGTTAAAGAATTATATAACTTGTGTTGTACTTAAAAAGGACAACACATAAAATTCTACCTTAGTTAATATATTTTAACTTAAATACATACATAACAATCATAAAAAACACCCAGTCTTACTGGTTGCCTCGCACGATGCAAACATTTTCATGACTGATTATGTATTTACAATTACAGTCATGAATTATTAAGTATTCTTTTTGGAATGGCAACCCTGGTCAGTACTGACCGTGGCATTGGTGTCATAGGTGCCGAGCTCAACAGCGGTGACGTCACGCAGTGGAACTCGTTGTACGCTGAGCAGCCGGTCCGATGTTTCATCATAGTCGGTGACGTAGTACGCCTCGCTCGTTAGCACGAGTACGCTGTCCATTTCCGTTTCTTGTGGATCTCCCGTACTGGGGTACGATCGTTAATTAAGTTAAATGTTAATTTTCGCAACTATTATTTTATTCATTAAATGATTAATATTGGACAAGTAAATTCGCACAATGTGAGCATACCTACAGAACGGTGAACCCGACTATCTATTAGGTGATTCTTCTATTATTGTGTTTGTAATTAACAGGACAAGGTTTGTATGAAAGAATCAGTTTACAGAATAGCGAAAAAAAAACAAGCTGAAGGGAAGATTTAGTATCATATTTATTATTAGCATATTTGTGCGAAATACGGTAATCAGATACAATAAAAATTAAAATATAACATGCTAAAATACTCACTGTGGATCAGCGTCGATAAGACCCCAAGAACCCAATACTGGCTCGGTGTCCACCAACAGTTTCTTGCAATCGTCGATTAGAGATTTTACGTGTTGCGCCATCGCTGCCGTATCGGGGACGGACTGATCCTATTCAACATAATAATCATTTAGAAAGCAAGGAACATATATATATACAAAATATGAAATTTTATAACATATATAAAAAATACAAAAAGCTGTGTTCATGTTACTTGATAAGTTGCTTATATTTAGTAAAGCAAAGGATATAACAATACACAATTCAGCAACAGCAACTGCGGTATAAAACAATTTTCCTTCAACCTAATTATATAAGAAAAGAATAAAAAAATATGATAAAATGAAGTGATGATGATTGTGATACACGTAGTTAGTCAATATGACACGTAGTGTGTTAATCGGGTTAGTAAGCTGATTTGTGTCACATTACAATTTTTTATCTGTAATTCTTAACTTGCTTTAGGTTGTAGCTGCTCGTCCTGACAATGTTATTAAGGAACTATGATATTTTATGGGATCAATCGTAAAGGATACACTAAGCTGCAAACCATTGATACCACTCATGAAAGTGAACAACTAAATTAAAGCAGCAAATTTAACAATTAAAAATATTTTTTTATAACTGTCATACAAAATGAGCGCTCATTTAATCAATTGAATTTGAAAATTCAAAATGTCTGTTCAAAAATTGAAAATTTGTGATAGTGAAAATAATGATATAAATTATGTATGTTACATGGGGGTGGGCCATATGAATTTTAGAAAAGCTAAGGTGGGGTATGCCACTAAACAGGGAGTGAAACACTGCGCTACTTCAAAGCTACTAGTAAGCAGAACATGCACGCACATTGAACATGAGAACCTTGACAGACGTGCACCGGGAGCAATCCGGGACGATCAGCTGTTCAGGAATGGAGCGCGACTCGCCGGTCATCACGTCTATGGCTACTTGACGAAGTGCATCTTTGAAAGTTGATAAATAATACCTGTAACAAAATTATCCTTACTTCCTTACTAATATTATAAATGCGAAAGTAACTCTGTCTGTCTGTCTGTCTGTCTCGCTTTCACGCCAAAACTACTGAACCGATTTAAATGAAATTTAGTACGCAGATAGTCTAGACGCCGAGGATGGACATAGGCTACTTTTTAATGCGAAAAAAGGGTTGTAAGGGGTTCAAAATGGAAATACAAGGTTATCTTTATGCGGTTGAATCCTTATTCGTCATATTTTCATTTCACTAGCTAACAACCAATCAACACATCGCGTGCGTTTGCGCCATTCGCCATCTTTTCATTTCACTAGCTAACAACCAATCAACACATCGCGTGCGTTTGCGCCAATAAGGTATCCATCACAGAGAACAAAACCACAGATAACATAATGTAAAACGAAAGATCTTGCCGGAAACATGACGTTGACGTTTAGTGAAAATATTGTTTTTGACACTTTTTTATGATAAAATCGTATATGGACAATTCATACGTGTGTATGTGTTTTTTCTTTAAACCTGAAATTGGCCGATTGCGAGACAAATTTGGCGATTTTTTTTATCAATTTGTTTTACGGCTCTGGATACAAGCCCAGTTTAGCCCAACTTAAAGTTTTACAATATAAATTACAAAAATTAAAGTCAATATCCAATGTTAAATAATAATAAATGTCAAATGTTGTTTCCCTGTTCTGAACAACTTAAAAAAAAACTATTAAGTTTTCTTTTTAAGTTGTTCAGTACAATCACAATTTCTTCAAATTTTATTATTTACATTTTGTAAAGAATGTTGTGGTGTGGCACTATCCGAAATTAAATTATTTACCCATTTTTGTAGGTTATACAGAAATAATGTGTGGGTGTTTATTTAAAAAGCATTAACACAAAATTAATAAAGTATAGGTATTAATATGGTTGTTGTATCAAAATAGAATTTTCTTATTTTTCACTAAAATAAAAACTAACTGTCTTTTTTATAAAATAAATGACCTTTTCATTATGCCATATATTATGGAACTATTTAAATTATTTAGCTGATTGTAAGAAACAAAATGTTGGTTTGTAGATTAATACTGTAAAATTATTATTTGTACGGAAACGATAAAAATATATTTTTGTGCTGCGACAAAAACTAATATTATAAATGTGAAAGTAACTCTGTCTGTCTGTCTCGCTTTCACGCCAAAACTACTAAACCGATTTGAATGAAATTTGGTATACAGATAGTCTAGACCCTGAGAACGGACATAGGCTACTTTTTAATGCGAAAAAAGGGTTGTAAGGGGTTAAAAGGGGGGATGAAAGATGGTATGGAAAAATCGTCATTTTTGAGACTGTTGATTAAATATAAATAAAAATGACATTCAATGTTTGTAAAAAATTACCCTTAAGGGGGTAAAATAAAATAGGGGATGCAAGTTTTTATGTAAATTCGTCATTTTTGAAGCTAGAAGCTTAAACTTATTGTTGAGACTGTTGATTAAATATAAATACATATGACATTCATTGTTTGTAAAAAAATTACCCTTAAGGGGGTAAAATAAAATAGGGGATGCAAGTTTTTATGTAAACAAGTCATTTTTGAAGCTAGAAGCTTGAATCTTATTGTTGAGACTGTTGATTAAATATAAATACATATGACATTCATTGTTTGTAAAAAAATTACCCTCAAGGGGGTGAAATAAAATAGGGGATGCAAGTTTTTATGTAAAATCGTCATTTTAGAAGCTAGAAGCTTGAAACTTATTTTTGAGGCTGTTGATTAAATATAAATACATATGACATTCATTGTTTGTAAAAAAATTACCCTCAAGGGGGTAAAATAAAATAGGGGATGCAAGTTTTTATGTAAACACGTCATTTTTGAAGCTAGAAACTTGATATATATATATTAAATATAAATACTTATGACATTCATTGTTTGTAAAAACATATATAAAAAAATAAAATAGGAGATGCAAGTTTTTATGTAAAATCGTCATTTTTGAAGCTAGAAGCTTGAAACTTATTTTTGAGGCTGTTGATTAAATATAAATAAATATGACATTCATTGTTTGTAAAAAAATTACCCTTAAGGGGGTAAAATAAAGTAGGGGATGATAGTTATTATGTAAATTCGTAATTTTTGAAACTAGAACGATGAAACTATTTTCATTGGTTCTTTTGGGGTAGATTTTTAAAAACCCCACTAATGTTATGACTGTGAAAGTAACTCTGTTTGTCTTTCTGTCAGTCTTACGCTCCAAAACAAAATAAAAATTTAAATGAAATTTGGTACACAGTTAGTTTACACCCGGACAAAGAATATAGGGTACTTTTGAATGTGAAAAAAGAATTGTAAGGGGGTTGCAATGGTAGGCTGTATGGAAGAATCGTCATTTTTTAAAACTAGAAGTTTGAGACTCATTTTTAGGCTGTTGTTTAAATATCAATAAATATGATATTCAATGTTTGTAAAATGTTTACTCTTAGGGAGAGGGGGGGTAGTAAAATAAAATAGAGAATGAAAGTTATTGTGGAAATTTGCTGTTTGTGTGGTTGTGGAAGCTAGAACGATTAAACTTTTTTCTTTGTCTTTTTAGGGTTAGTTTATTAAATACCTTACTGATATTATAAATGTGAAAGTAACTTTATCTGTTTGTCTCGCTTACACGCCAAAAATACTGAACCGATTTAAATTGAAATTTGAAACAGACATAGATAGACTAGATCCTGAGAAAGGACATAGGTTACTTTTTAATGTGAAAAAGGGTTGCAAGAGGATTAAAAGGGTAGATCCAAGGTTATATAGATGTATCGTCATATTTAAAGCTAGAAGTTTGAAATTTATTTTTTAGCCTATTGATTAAATATTTATTTTTACTTTTTATCATTTTTGAAGCTAAAACGATGAAACTTATTTATTTGACTTATATTGTGTTAATTGAGTTAAATATTTTTTCATTATTTACGCGGACGAAGTCGCGGGTACAGCTAGTAATCTATATATATAAATATAAAAATTGTACAGCTGTTTAACACGGCTTCTCGCTAAACCGTATGGCATATATTACTATATATTATACTGTAATAATAATACCCTAGTCGACAATTCACACAGCGTCATCTAGCCTCAAGCTAAACTGATTTTTTGTTATACTAGACAACTGATACAAGTACTTAGATAATTTTTTTTAGATGTATACACAGAATATATCCAGGCCAATATAAACAATTCTACACTCGAATATTTTTGTATCATGCGAGGAATTGAATCTGCAACCATCGGAAGTAAGGCAGTGTGTTAAACCGCTGGAACGCTAAGGCCGTTATATAACGGGTTGCGGAAGAGTAAATCCTAATATACATAATAATAACTTTTAACTTTAACTGCGCACAGGAAACAAATGTATAAAACAAAACAGAATGTTAGAAAGTGCATTACAAAAGGCGCTGGTATTATTATAATAAGCTATCATTTATGGACAACCTGGAATCAATTACATAATTTGTTTATTTTGAATTTCGTTATCAATAAATGCAATAACTCAATGAATATATATTTTAGAATAATATGTTATGATATAAGGGTAATGTAATGTAAATTTTTTTCTAAAATTAAATAAAAAGGAATAGAATTTGGCTTATGCCAAATTATATAATTACATTTGTTCAAATTTAGAAATAAATAATTATTTATCTAACGTCAAGTTATACTATAACTTTCAAAATAAAATAATATTTGCAAAACACATTTGAAGATGGCTTCACAGTTTAGTTGCAGGCCACAATGACAAACGAAACATGGTTAGAGAAACAGCACAACAATAATTGTAAATCTACTATATTTACATACACAACAAAACTGCGTAAAATTTTCATTTTTGCACATTTCAATAGATAACAATTTGCTGCACAAACCACGAAGGTGGATGTGCATATTCATATTTAGAAAGAATCTCCAAGATATTATGTATATGAATAACATTTTCTAAGAAATATGATTATGTAGTACGTAGTATTAGTAGGTAAATGCTGTAATCATTGAAAATAATTAATATTTTTGAATATTTGTTAATAATGTTACATTTATGCGTATGTTTTAAAATATGTTCAACTCCTAGCACGATTAATTTAAACGGTCATTCAGGAATACGGAATATTGTAAACTTCTAAATTATTTTAAAAAGTCTTCAACTTTTATAACAATAGTTATAAATTAACCATTGTAACATTTCTTGAAAAACGGAAGACACATTATGCAAAGCACTATTGTCTATAGACATAGGACACAATAATCACAGAAGACAAATTTAACTAGTGTTACGGAGAGGAGGTCGAAGCAAACAATAAGAGACAGATTGATTTATTAGTGCAATTAGTTCTATCGTCCAATATAAACTGACCTCCCCAATCCGTATGCAATCTCTGCAGACAGCAGTTCATTGGTCAGCGGATGTCCAAAGTAACTTGGCATCAATTCTAATTTTGGTCTCTCCGTATCCAAATTCTCATACAAAATCATTGAAGTTGTTTTGACGTCTCGCCAAAGGTTGTCATGTTCTTCAATGGTTGCCATATTGATAGGCTGTCCAAGCGCAATGTCTATGGCACATTGTGTCATGGCGTCACAAAAATGGTGGATGATGAATCTGGTGGGGAAAAAATGCCATATATTTGTGGCCCTATCAGAGATCGGAAAACGGATATATTTTTACCTGTTAGCCGATGCGACACCGTCTTTCATCATGCCGGTGAATTTTCTTTCGCCAGTCCTCGTATAGTCGCCCTGTATTGAACATCTGTAGATTTAGTTTTGGTAATCCATTGTTTATATATATGGCATTTGACATGTTAGTAGATTAGTATCTAAAGCTTTAATCTTTAATGCATTAATTAGTATGAAGAGATTAATCAAAAACATTGCAACACATAAGGTTAATAACAGTGTTATTCGCCACTCAATAGGATAGAATAGAATAGAAAATAATTTATTCAAATAAACTTACACTGAAACACTTTTGAATAGTCATCACATTTTTTTAATCTACCGCTCATCCGGAAAGCTGTATCATCACAAGAAGAACGTGCTAGAAACTTGCGTGTTGCTCTTTTAAATAATTATATTGTTACTTTACATTGAAGTTAAGTTTAAGTTGATGTGTGTGAATTAAAAGTTGTGTCAATTGCATTGTTAAAATAATTTTAAATTGATATTGCGAGTAACTAGAGGGTGAAAATAGAATCAGTGGTAGAGGAGTTTGATTATTTAAGGAATTAAAATCCGTGATAAAGACAGGAGTTATAGGAAGAACTACTGGATAGGGAAAGGAAGGAGCAAATACCTTAAGTGCCTTGGTCCCGGCATACTGTCGCGACACCAGGTCTCCGCTGTCTGCCCACATGGCGAGGAAGGCGCTCCGCAGTGGAGGTGGTAAACCACAGCCAGGAGCACCCAGCCCTAACCGGCATAGTTGCAGCTCTAACACATATTTCGCTATCGCCGTCTGTAGACACCACCGATAGATACTCTTGAAATTTGACCGAGATAAATTTTGTACAAAAGCATTAGCGTCGTCACTTCTGTTTTAACTATTTTAGCCACCAAGCAGCTACCTTTATAAGCTGAGTTTCGATTAAAAGATGAGATATGGAAGTAGAATTACCGATTACTGAGGCATACTATCTAAGTCCTCCAGTAAAGCAAAGCATAAGAGGTACCACGGGTTTTAAATGATTATGGAATGTTCGTGTTATTATAAATAAAGTGGTGTGGTAAACCGCTAGACCACCGAGGCCATAATATACACAATCAATATGCAGTAGCATTGGAATTGGTTAAAATAGGGATGATATGGAAATAAAACCGGACGGGCCTTATCATTGCCATACAATTTATACACAGATATTATTTTTATACAACAATATATATAAAAGCTTGACAAAGAGACCTAGAATAATACCTGTACAACATTGGTTCTATCCAGGCAATCAATGCAATTTACACGGAAGACGCCGTTCTGCGCGCATATGAGACCGCGGTCGTCACGCCAACAGAAGCGCATGTCGCCGATTATATCTGCGATAGCATTTATAAGAATACTGACGTTTTCGTAATGCATGCCACGGCTGGAACAAGACAAAACAGGTGTAACCAAAACAGCAGGTGTAAACAAAAAGGTGAGGTAACTGGAAATGACTGATAATGACAGGTAATGACTGGAATATGATAGGACATATTAGAAAGATAGATGGTTATTTAAATATTGATCATATTTTTGTTTCATTGTTCGGGAGACATGCAAATAATATTTTTATGTTACAGATTACAAAATGACATAGATTACAATTTTTTTAAAATATGGCAATATTTATGTCTCAGGAATCCAATGTATGTCAACACTGCTTTTCGTTATCATTGGCTACATTTTCCACAATGGGAATTGTCAATTTGTTTTATTTCAATTATATAAAACTAACACGAAAAAAATATGAAAGTAGTCCAAAAATCTACTGTGGTTACAAAATTCAAAAATCTATAGTTACAAAATTTTCAGTAGTTTTCTATCATGCATGATAATGGAATAGTGCAACCACCTAACAGTATATGCTGTAATGAATGATGAAGCTTGTGACAAATTCTCCAGGAATCAACACTGATGATTTTCAGGAGGACCATGGGTTTAAACGTGATAAGGTTATTATTAGTTTATTACCTTAATATGTTTGACCTCTACATTGTCTTCCTTGAAGCCCCCAGGAGGCTTATTGATAGGAATATTGATGATATTGCTAGCAATGAGGCTCCCATTTCTAACACCTCCCGCCCCCATTCAATCTGCCTCTTCATAATATAAAAGAAACTCACCAATACTCATGAAAGTCGAATGTGGCGTATATAATATCGGGACTATTTAACTTAAGTACGTGGTTGCCGTACGCCTCCCATATGATGCGCTCTCGACCTTGCTGCTCTACGAGATTCACTATACACACTTGTTTGTATGTATTCAGTTCTTGATCGAAGTGTTTTTTGAAAGCAGTATGTGATTCTTCTTCACCTATTTATAAAATAGAATTATTCTAAAGTGTGTGTTTACTTTAAATTTTCAATAAACATAACATGTCAGTTAGTTAAATTTCGAGATTTGTTCATAAAAAAGACAATGGTAGGGTAGGTAATGACACCCTACCATTTTTCACTAGGATGATGACATTATGTACTAATTATTTTTTTACAAAAAAATTCCCCGCTTGACTTGAAACAAACTTGACTAACCACTTGTGTTAGAAGCTCCCATATATAGAAATGCTTTTAAATTGTTTGATGAATCTGAATAATATTATAAACGATATTTTTATAAAGATGGATTGATGTAAATTGGGTCAGAGAAAGAGCACTAACATATTGTACGTACTTCTATCAAGACGAGGTGGTGGTCTAAATTTGTAATCTGGCTGACTCCAGAAAATGGGAACCGATCCCCGAATCTGTAATAAAAGAATCTTTTTTATATGTGTAACCTACATACAGATATCAAAATTCTGCAGCATGGGTATGCAGGCTATAGCTAGGTATTGCTAATATACTAAATAAGAAAATTATTATAGAAACTTTTTTTTCATAATACAGTTATATCATATCGATTATCTGCATACAGACTGTTTGAAGCTGATTTGTTGTCTACAGCTATCTAACTGCAGTAACATTGAAACTCCGTTCAGAAGCTAATAAGCCTTCTTGTATATGTATATGTATATATATATATATATATATATATATATATATATATATATATATATATATATATATATATATATATATATATACATATACATATATATATATTGACGTATATTTTTAAAGATGACCGAGAGATGTTGTACCGAGTATTTGAGCTCAGTACAGCATAATCAAAGCTTATTGTTAAGGACTCGTTATCACTTTTATCGTCACCTGTAGATGGGTATTTTGAATAAGACATAAAATATATAATATGCTCATTTATTTTAATTTGTAGAAATGTGAATAATCAATGTCTTACAGTGATGGATGAAATATGGTGCGAGTTTTCTTTTAATGGCTAATAATACACCAGTGAAGGAGCATGAATCGTGACAAATTGACCAAGAATTAAGCAAGATGATTTGCTGATGGGCCCACGTGTAGGGTGATCTGACCAACATGTCCATTATCCATGGGATCGCTAGTTCCCATTACTAAAAATCCTTTCCCCTCTAATAAGGTGCGGCTGTATTGTAATAAATTGCTAGCATTAATAATAATAGACCATGTGAAGGACACATTCGAAATTTAGTAATTAGTTAATTGTAGGTCAGACTAAATATACATGTAGCGTGGCCGTTCAGGGAACCATCAGTGCATGACGTTACTCAACATTTTATTATATTTTACAATATATCTTTGTCTCAATGTAACTTTCACTAAATATCACAATGAGTGATTTCGACTCATTGTGATCTTCAGTACATTTTTAATTTTATTTTTAATTTTAATTCAATACTAATTCTAATCTTTAATCTACAACTGCAGTATGACGTTGATGATGATTCTTGAAATAATGTATTGATTTCACATAAAAAAAAATAAAACTGAATATTAAAAACTAATTATACACTATATATTTTTTTATTTACTATCTTTATATACAAGGAGTTAATCCGATGATCCCTTTAACTTTTTTCTTACTAAATTCAATATTTGTTATGTTTAGTCTTACCTGAATGAAAGAAGCTCTATGTACACTATCAGAGCATATTATGGACACAATTTGCTCTGTTTCCACATAATTTGCCACTTTTCCTTCCGGCTCGATACCACGACGATTGTATCTGAAACAAATATTTTATCATTTTACATTTTAGAAACTTATTACAAATCCGTCTAGTATTTCTAAATTAGCCATAGTGTGGCTATGTTTTTTTTTCAAGGGTATTATATACTAATATTATAAATGCGACAGTGTGGCTGTCTGTTTGTTACATATTAACATTCCAGATCTCAAAGATATTTACATGATGATAGAGTATATCACAAGAGCGGATATAGGCTACTGTGGCAGTTAATTTTCGATTACTCCTGTATTTTATGTTTCAGCGGGTGCCATTTGTGGTTAACACAAGAAAATTCGAATTTAACTATTACCAGTAAAATAGATCATGTAATTAAGGCACCATAAGATATTTATGCTTATGTACAAAGTTGCTTTTTATGTGAATACTGGATGACAAAATTCATTTCAACAGGGGTGAGTCCTAGAGTCCTAGGTATTACTAGCATTTAGTAATCTACATTTATAGATATCTTATCAAATATTATTCTTCATATAACAAAAGTATAAGTATAAGTACTAAGCTTATAGTTTTTCAGATAAACCATATCTGCTTGCTTCACTAAAATAATCAGATGTTGCTCAATTGTATGACATGAACATGAACACAAAAATGTCCTATATCACACTGTACTCATATCAAGGTTTTCTCTAGAAACTGTAGTATGAAGCTTTGGAAGATATTAAGGTTTCTTAAGGGTCAGCACACATTTAACACCTCTGATGGTTCAGGCATCCATAGGGTGTATTGTTCACCAATAGATGCACTAATTCAAATTCAAATTCAAATTTCATTTATTCATGTAGGACATTTTAGCCGCTTATGAACGTCAAATTTTTACATTATAATTTTATTTTTTTTCCTACCGTGGTTCATAGATCCAATTGAGAAGAACTGGCAAGAAACTCAATTGAATTACTTTTTTTTTAAAGCCAGTTTATTTACAATGTGACATGAAATGAAACATAACATTAAATGAAAATTCAGTGCATCAACTTTGCCATGCACACATCATTGTAATCGTTTATAAAAAGTGAATATGATTTAACAGATGTTTTGAATTTATTTAAGAATTCAACATACCCTTTGGTATCTTATTGTAAATTTTTATACCTATTCCCATAAAAGACCTATTAACTTTTAAACGATATAATTAAAGTTTGTCTTTAAATCTTGTATTAATATTATGAATATTGCTGTTTTTTGAAAATAAGTCAAGATTTTTATGAACATATTTTTATATACATCAGCTTGCACCAGTACAGGTGGTACTGGTGCAAGCTGATGTATCATTTACAACATACATCCGTGCACTGGAAAATAAGATTCAGGGAAATTCACAACAAATTAATTTTAAAGAAAGGGAACTGCATGGAGGTTAAGCTGACAAGGTCCATTAACTACATTGAGGTCACTAGTTTCCATTAATAATAATCAGCTCTAATCTTCAAATACTTACCTAGTGCCTGCTTGATATCTTGATCGCCTGGATATCAGGCCTAATGTGAAGGTCTCATCACATGAATTGCTATTGGACAGTGATTCTGTATTTAATGGGTTGATATCTGCTGGCTCTACTGCTATTTGAGATAGATGAACATAGCCTTGAATGATGGGAAGTACCCACTCATCACAATCTGGACTCTGAAAAAGTCTCCTTTAATGTATTGCATTCACTAAAAATTAATCAAAAAGATATGTGTTTCTAATGAATAATGGAAATAAAGAAAAACAACAACTTATAGGTAGATCTCAATGTATACTGCAACATTTGTTTAAAATTGTATTCACTGTTATACTCACTCCCAAATTAATTATATCCTTAAGCATGTATTTATTCCAGAAAAATCTATCATCCACATGTTTCCACCACCTTGTTATATCCATAACAGGTTTACTGTTCTCCTCTGATTCTAACATCTTCTCTATTTCATATTGTCGTTGTAGACTGTTTGTTATGTCAAGGGTGCGTGAATAATAGAAACTATCTGAGTCATCAAATATTTTATGAAGTTCATCAGTTAGTCTCTTCTCAAAGCGCTCAGCTAGTTTGGGATCCCTTTGTTTCTTGACAGTTTGTTTCACCTATATTAAATTCAAACTTCTTTAGAATAAGTCATATTTATTTTAATACAGATCTACATTATACTTTGCGATCCAAATTAGATTGATTATAGTTCCAAGTTTTTTATAATTGCTTGATACAATTATTCTAAATTTTAATGTGAAAATATAACAAAAGCCCTATATGCTAATATAAAATATATATTTATACCTGTGTTGCTGCTTGTTGTGTCGTGGTTTTGATTGTATTGCTAACATTTTTAACGGCTCCTACAGTTTTATTCAGAAATGCTGAGTTCTCAAAAAGTCGGCCACCCATTTTCTTGTTGATAGACCTTCCTGAATTACCAATTGAACTTGATGAACCATGCTTGGTACAAGCACACAGTTCTACTTCATGGTTCACAAGCCCCATGTTTAGGAAGCATATTGATTTTATTTTATAAACTGTATGGTGAAAATATAATTGACCTACTGGTACACTCTCCTTAATGATCATAAGTCGAGGTTCAAATATATTTGAGTGCTCCACTTTCCCTATTATTCCTTCTGTTATCCCTAAACATTCTATGTCCTCTATATCCGAGAGATCCCAAGCTAAAAAAGTAAAGAAATATTTAGATTAGTTTAATTTTATATTTATTACATGTAATATTATTTTATAACAATAATTAATAAAATAAATGTTGAAGGTTATTATTAACTAACATTTTAGACCCAAATCAGTACAATTAAAGTAGAGAAATTGCAAAATTCGTAATTTTAACTAATACGTACCTGATCTTACGGAAAAGGCTCCGGTTTGTCGATTCCACCAAAGACTTGACTCATTTCTAACAAATATGTAATATTGATCTGATCTAAACAATTCCATTTTGCTGTAATTTATTTCGCGTCCGTAAAATTTTTATTCAGATTCATAGTGATAAATTGTTTATTATTATTGTGATTTTCTTTCATGCATTTGACGTTTAAATAGGAAAGGAAGGAAGGGGTAGATAGGTAGATAGATAGTACAGAATGGTAGATGCGGTAGATGAGTGAATCACAGATGTGATTGACAGAGACTCATATAGATTAGGGAGTTGGGTAGAGAGAATGAATTGCCGAGTCTAACAATAAAGTAAAAATTTATTTGGTTGGTACACCTGTTTTCAATCATTTTGCGATTCTACAGCTTTAATGTTATGAACGTGAATAATAATTTTTAATTAGCACAAGAAGGTACACGAGACTGATGTGACACTATTGATATGTAATATTATGTTATCTGTGCTATTGATATACATGGAAATAATTATGAAGCCAAAATCGACATACTGATACGACCTATATGTATGTACTGTAACGTAAGTGGATAAAGTAAACGATAATCGTCTTCTACACAGTATCATGTACATCACGTTATCATGCGTTACCAATACGTTATTTCAATGTAGGTATAAATAAATTTACTGTAAAGTTTCATTATAATCCGTTTAATAGTTTTTGCGTGAAACAGTAATAAATATTCATCATCATTCATTATAATCACAAACTTTTGCATTTATAATATTAGTAAGATTTTACTCAATATGGTTATAATAAAAAAAAATTACAGTATATTTAAATCCTGCTTTAAATTAAATATTGCATATTGGCATTAACCGTCTTATAATATGACTAATGCTAGGTATTTTACCACTTTGTGTATTTTTAAATTATTTTGGTATCTATCCATACTAAATTACTAAAGACATAGATAGAGAAATAGTCTTTGTCTATGCTGTGTGAAACGAAACATCTTATCTGTGACGTAAACGCCTACTGTACTGACATGACGCCAAGTAGCGAACGCCGAACTCTGAAGTGAGCGGCCAATTAATTTTCTTATGTTGGCATATCGTTACAATGCTTTTTCCATTTTAATGAAATAAATGTCTGTTTTAGTGTGTTTTATATGTAATCGTATTATATTTTATTAAAATGGATTGGCAATTAACTTGTAGAGTTTGTCTAGAAACTGGTGACATGGTTTCCCTTTTTGATTGGGATGAAAATAATGAACAACTGGGCGACAAATACACCTACTGTTGCGGTATCGAGGTATGGAAAAATTACCACCAAAATGGTTGCGATGGCCACCCTATAATTTTTACTACATAAATGTTGCTATATTGTTTTATTTGCAGTATTTTTGTGATTTTTTACTGACATCCCAGAATTTCCAAGTTTTAAAATTTTTTACCAATATTGATTGCATTTGTCCAATTTCAGGTGAAAAAAAATGATTCTTTACCAACGCTCATATGTCTAAATTGTGTAGATCGGCTTACTTTTGCGTATCAATTCAAACAACAATGTCTCGCTTCAAACGACACTTTAAAAGAATGCTTAGAAGAGTTTGTAAAGAGTTCCGAAGCAGTTTCTGCAGCCAACACTTCAAAAGGTACATAATGTTAACCGATTTGATTTTTATACAATAGTGCTAATATTTTGGCACTGTATAGAATAGAAGAAAATACCGTAATTACAAAAAGACAATTGAGATATACCTCATCTCAATAATCTCTCTCATATAAAGAAAAAACGTATTTATAAGTAGATGTACTTTATTTTATACACAGAACCATGCCACCAAGCCAGTGTGTTCACATACCTACCATAGTACAGGATTTGATACAAAGCACAAGAGTATATGTATATACTCATGTTATTGATATTGACACCATAATCCAGTAAACAGCCTGTGCTCAACGATATAGGACAACCAATAAATAATGAAATTTGTGGGAGTAATGTTTTACTCCCACAAATTTAATTATTTATTGGTTTTGTTACTGGAGCAAATTTTATATGAAGTTGTATGAGTTGAATAGAGACCTAGCTGTCTTCATTTTAACTGGACACTTTTTATCCAATACCACTGATCATTAGTTCATAAGAGTATAATGTGTGTTACCTATATTAAAAAGATAGGATTGGGCACACAAAATTACTGTATTAAATTATTATAAAATTAAATTAAACTTTATTAATATTCTGTTTCAGTCACAGAGACAGAGACAATAACTATAAAGCAAGAGAATGGATTGCTTTTGCAGTATGAACTCCCAGTGGAACATGACCCTCAGGTGCAGTGGACAAGAACTCTTACTAAAACTCCCAGCAGTGCTGTGGTGACAAAAGCACCTGGTCCAAAAAAGAGGGGTCGCCCTAGGAAATACCCCAATGAACAGGGACAAATTGGTATATCTTTTTATAAATATCTGATAAAACTAGAATTTTCTTACTTGTTTAAGCTTTTTTTAATCCTTTCCAAAACCAAACCTATTTTAATGATTATTTTTGCACTTGGTACTATTTTATTTTTATGTATCAAAATTTGTACCTATTAAACAGTTTTTATGTTATGGTACACATTTTCATTAAATTTGAGAATTATTGTTAATTTAATTTATTGATTCTTGTTGTACCCTGCAGTGTTCTGTCTAATTTAGGATATTGTCTACCTGTATATAAAAATACATCTAATTGTACTCCACCATTTGTGTATGATTGAGTAACAAATATGTAAACATTTACATATTTATGCAATTATTATATAAGAAAGATCTAACTCATTATAAAATTAAAGAAGAAAAGAATACCTCAATATTATCTGATTAATCTGATTACGAATTTTTAATGATTAAAATACCCATTTATGATTTGTTAACATTACACATATTTTGTTGCAGATGTATCCCCATACCAACGAAAAAAACCAATGCCATCACTTAAGGAGCCTGACTCTTTGGCAACATTACTGGCATCTGGCTCCCTGGATATGAAAGAGGAACCTCTTGATGATGATGATGATGAACCTTTTGGGGCTGATGGTAAATTATGTTGTAAATTAGATTTTGATTAAATTTCTTTATGAACTAAGTGAAAAAATCCTTATAGACATATGTATATTTACGAATTATTCTTATTTTTTACTAACATATGTCAATGTCTGTGCACAACTTCATATGTCTATGCTCTGTAATTTTGCCTGTGTTAATTACTAGTCAATAAAAAAATAGTATTTCTTGTGGTAAGTATGTTACCAATTTTTGAAGACGGCAATAATATTCATCCCTTTTATCCTTATGGATAAAATTTTGAAAATTATTAAGTGTCATGTATAATTTCAATTTCTTATATTAAACAGTTTCAGCTATGTTTATCACTTAGACATTCAACTTTCCCATTTGTAGTTGTATAAAGATAAGATAAATTTTAGTAGTAGGTTAATAATAATACAATGTATATTTAAAGTATTTCAAATGTTATAGGTTTCGATGTAGATGACAATGATCCTGAATATGATCCAGCAGAGACTGCAGAGACTGCAGACTCGGATAAGGAAATTCCAACAGAGGTAGATATTATATTAGTTTTCATATTTTATGATTATAGTAGTATTTTCATTTTATATTATTATATAATAAATGAAATATACATAGAAGAAACAATTTGAACCGAACCCCACCTTACTGTTTGTGGTTACTGTCACATTTATATAAAGTGCATTGGTAATGTAATATCCACATTATAATGTGATTCCCATTATAGCACTCATACATTGCCATTCCAAAATGCTAAGATGTTGTAGTTCATATCTGGTAATTTCTCTACCTTATTTCGTCTTTCAAGCGAAACACTGCTTATAAAATAAACTGCTTGGCAGCTGAAGTAGGCAAGACTGAGGTACACACGCCGATTCTTTCTTTAACATTGATGACTTAATCTTAATTATTCATTATTATTTTTCGAGGGTTATTCCATCCTTATGATGTATTTTAGACCATTATCTACTTTTTGTACAGTCCCATCCGCGTAAGAAACGTGGCCGACCACGGAAACCACACTTAGAGAAGAAATCTAAGAAGAATGAGGAGGATGGCGAGGATGTATTGCTAAAGGAGACCATAATGGCTTACTCAGAACCAATTCCTGATCATATACTTAATCCGAAACCAAAGAAGAAGTATAGTGGTTCCAAGAAAAAATATCACTATGAAAAGACGTAAGTTGTCCTAATAAATGTCTAAAATTAATAATGATATGTGCTAAAATTATATACCTAAATGTAAAATGTTTGCATGTAGGACATAAGCTCATTAGTTAAAGTGATATAAATATCATGTCCTAGAAGCCGGGATAATAGGATATTGTTAAATAAAATAAATAAATAACTGTATTGTTAGAATGGGCCATTATAAATTGTTATTTGTTCTTTTTAGACTTTTTAGTAAACAATAGAAAGTATGAATCCTGGCCTAATAATCGACTCTGAATTCCATCCAAAGTGGTATGCGGCACACTCCACTTTGTGTCAATTAAATTTCTGAATGGCTTCTTGGCGAATAAATAACAAATATATCGTCGATTAAATAGACAAATGACATTTTTCAAAATTAGACGCTGTAATTGACTCCTTTTATATAAGTCAATTAAATTAACCACGCTGTCTTTATCATTATCTAAATACTTTTAAAATGAAATATAAAAGGTAAATTTAAAACTTTAAAGGAAACAATAATTTAAATAAATAAAAAAAAAACTTTAAATGCTTGTCTTTTAAATATGTACAATTTCAATACTGCCATTTTTCTATTTAAACAACGATATGTCAAAATCAAGAAATATCTGACAGACGGCGTGGTAGGGGACGACAGTTCGCTCCCTCTGCCATGTTAGAGTTGAGTATACCCTTACTGGGTGTACTGACCTTAATGTGGGCATGTCAAGTGTTGCGTACATCACGACACTTGACATTGCTTCTATCTGTACCACGTCTTGTATAATGGTTGTGATGGTATGTTTTTGTTGTAGTCAAGAAAAAACTTTGGTATTTTTATTTTAATCTTTATATTTCTAGGCATGTGTGCGAGACCTGTGGTTCCTCATTCACGTCAAATGCATCATTGCAGGCGCATATACGGCGGCATTTAGGCATCAAGCCATTTGTATGCAGGTAACTAATGTTTCAAATAACCCATACAGTTGTGTTTATAACTTTCTTTGACTATATCTAACCTGACATGGCGGTGCGTATATTTTGAATCAGTACGATAAACAATAATCTTTGACTTACAAGGCTTAAAATCATACTGTTGTGTTATGGTGCAACAGCACGTCGCACAATGAAAATAGATTTAAAAAACATTTATCTATATATATATTTATCGAGAAATCGTTGTTCGTTGTTCATTCTTATGTGTGCAGTAGTGATCGAAACATTGGTGGATTAGCTTTACTATTTATTCTAGGCCGTATATTCTCCTATATTCATGGTGATATGTTTATAGCCGCCCGACACTTACAAATTTATGTTAAACAGTCTTGTTATCATACAGTATAAAAATATATATTTTGCTGATTCTACCCAGTAAAGATTCGTATTAGTATTCTGAATATTTGGTATAATTATAAATTATTTAATATTGGTATTAAAATGTATATTGTAGATAAAAAAAAGACCTATAAACATGGACTGTGTGAAAAAGGATATGGCTATAAAGTAAGTGTATACTAAGATTGCTAACATATTACGCCGACCGGTAAATGCTCAATTGAGGGCTATATTATATTTTAAATAATATATTGGATAAATTATTCAGCTCCATGTTAATACTTGAGACATGGGTGCGGGTGTGTTTGTGTAGTCCTACACAATCGTTTGCCATAGCCTTCTGTTATATTTATCAAATTGCCGCGGACACCACCTGCGCCCATTACAGACCATCGTTCCCGCACACGCTGTTTTTTTTTAATTTATTGTTCTGGATTATATAGTCTCCAAAGTTATCTCTCTCCGAGGGCGTCCTTATCAAGAATTGTATTGTGGTGATGTACTGTCAAATTCTGTGGTTATTAATGAATATTATGAATGAATTTATTTCTAAATCTATTACTATAAACAACAATGGTATAGATCTGACTTATAGAATATATACATATGTGTATGTATAATGTTTATAATGTAATGCATGCATATAATTGCAATATTTATAATGACAAAAATTTTTCAAAAAATATTTATTCTATCTCTAAATGTGAATCTAAATAATTATTTTTTATATATTAAAACCACGAAATGACAGTATATCGTTCATAGAAATTATGCAATTCATAGCAAAATATTAAAACCTGAAAATGTTGTGATTATCACTATGTATTAAACACACCCGCACCCACGAAAATCCTTTAGTCTGATCAGATAACCAAGATAGGTATCCATAGCAATAGACGTGCATATTATTTATGGTGTCTACGCTATATGCTGAAAACTACAATATATAAGTTTTTGTGCTGACTAAGATAAGGTCCTGTATTATTGTGAAAAGAATGGTGAAAAATGACGGAATGCTGAACTCTGCTTTCTCTCATACGTCGTAGTGTATAGATTTATTGATTATTACATTATTAAACACATATGTAATTTTTAAGCTTGGCACTTATCAATTAAGCGGACTTTGTCCAACTGAATGACCTCGAATAATACTCTATAGAGTAAAATATCATAATGATTTAATAGTAATTGTATGTTATATAAGTGACTAGAACTTTTTATTTATGATACAGCTTCCCTAAACCTGGCAATGTATCTTAAATCTGTATTACTTGTCAAAATTCAAACAAATACTTATTTGAATTAATGATAAATTGCCGTCAAACCACTAAAATTTGAATATTATATTTTATTTATTATTCAGCAAATAACAATATAATTCATTTAATGGTAAATAGGCTTTTGGAAAATCAATTATAATGAATACAAGATAGTTTGGTTGGTACCTACATCCGAGTCTGATGTAATCTCTAGATTACATCAGACTCGGAAAAGCACTATGGTCGTCAAGTATGTCAATAGTGCTTTTACGACTTTCATAGGTATTTATGAGACTGTTTAATTAATTTGATACCATCATTACAAAGTAGTAACCGTCGCCTGTAGCAAAACAGGAGAGCACTCCATGGATATCACAATACACGTTATGACACTTAGGGCAAGACCTTTGGTCTTTAAAACTTCTCTTAACCCAAGGGTCCTGGCTTAAGTGTCACGAGTCACTTTGTTTAATTTGCTTTAAAAATTGAAATGTTACGTAGATGTTGCTAGGCTGTGGTAAGCGTGATCTTAGTGAGCAATTATGTCCAGCGTTTGCGGGTACGCGTGCGTTCTGAACATGGAGTTGCGGCGGCACATGATGCGCCACACGGGCCAGCGGCCCTACAAGTGCCGCGTGTGCGACCGCCGCTTCGGGGACTTTGGCAGCCGTCAGAAGCACGAGAGGCGAGTTCCGTTAATCGCGGGACGGATCGCTCATGTGTTAATGGGATTTTACATGTTTGCAAGCTGCATTCGAATTAAATGTTAGAATATATTGATTCTATTTATAATTTGCGTGAATTATCTGTAAATGATTTTTTTATTGATGAGGTTTTTATTTGCATAGGTATAGTTTGGTACCAATAAACCCCTAGGAAGATTAAATAATCGCTTTCCACGAGTCATGATAGAATCCTATCTTAGGGGAAACTGTACAGACTGTAGAGTAACTGTAGAGACATAATAAACATAGATGTTTATTATGTCTCAGCATGAAAATTTAGTTATATTTTTTTCCTATACATTAGGCCGTGGGTACATATAATGAATTATAGGTAGATTCCAGAATGATTGAATCTGTAAAATGTTTTTTCTATTAACCTTTGTATTTTTATTAACAAAGACTATCGGGCTTAATTGTGAATCTTGAGCAACTGCTTATGGCACGATAACATAAATTTATTTAAAGCATTAAACAGCGAGAGCATTATGAATAATGTTTACCATTACTTGTGTTATCTGAACAACATCACAGGTATGTTCCATGATTCATAGATTCAGTGTCTTGTAGAAGAGAGGAATGGTTTAAATAAAGTATAAGTATACAAAAAGTATAAATGTAAAAATAATTTTATTGTGATTCGTGTACAGATTTAATTCTGACTATTCTTTAAACACTTCCTTGGTCAAAATGATTCCATTTACAGATAACATTTGCGCATTAGGATTTTTACCATTATTTTCAATAATAGTTAAGTATATAAAATCCAATGTAAGCTCCCTTGCACACTGAACGATCTGGACCGATGTTTATTATTCAAAACAGCGCTTGCCCATTCGCAACAACGAATCGTTTGGGTCTCAAGAGGCATATGATAAGACACTCAGGACAGAAGCCGCTCAAGTGTCGTCACTGCGATAGGCGGTTCGTCGAGCATGGAGACAGACAGAAACATGAAAGGTGACTGTAGTAGCAATTAGCTAATTAGTCTTAATTTAATTGAATAGACCAGTTCATCGGCAGACTGTTGAACAGTGTGAAGCAAAGGTGGTAAGATGTATATTTTTAATAACTGTCCATTCGGTCGTGATCCATCTCCATCAGCGAAAATATCTGTAAATTTTGAAGTCTGTTTTCGAAGATTTCTTAATGATAATATAATCAATGAAGTAAATCCGCTCAAAACTATAAAAAAAAAATTCACATTTATACAAATGTTTTTTATATTAATTGATGTATATTTTTTACAATTTACTAAAATTGTTACCTGTTTATACTGAACGGTTTAGTATGTTATATCAATTTTCTAGAATCATGGCTTTGATCCTCACACCATATTAATATTTGTTTTCGTAAGTATGTATGGTTATATTGACCTGGCTATTTTTCATACCAAACTCATACACACATGTAGGTAGTTCTTTTCAGTACAATTAAATAATGTCTTTAATACAAGTAATGTTGTCTACAAATTCTCAATATTTTGGGATACGTGACAATATTTTTTAGGTTCTGGGAATAAAAGATATATAAATATTTACAAAACATTAATGGTTGGATATCTGTGAACACAGGTTACACATGGGTCTGCGGCCGTACCAGTGCAGCGTCTGTGGCAAGTCGTTCACCTATTCATACGTACTGGCGAACCACATGCTCACGCACACGGGCGAGAAGAAATACTCGTGAGTATATACATACTAGCTGTGCCCGCGGTTTCATCTGCATTAAATTTCAATAAAAAATATAGTCTAAGTGTTATTCTGATGCACAAGCTATATTCCTGTAAAGTTTCATCAAAATCCGTTCAATAGTTTTTGCATGAAAGAGTAACAAGAATCCATATATTATAGACTTTGTTTCTCGCGTTTATAATATTAATAAGATATCTCAAATATGTCACTATAACATTATTAACTACTTTAATTTATATTCTGTACATGTCAAAGCGTTACATTCGGAATGGATAGACGGGATATTTAGTGCACTGGTTGGTTGAATGTACTTAAGATGTAGTCTTCTGTGCTATATCTCAGACTTAACTATTTCAGCCTTGGCGGCTGAAACACCTTGTTTTGTTAGCTGTTTTGGTCGTAGGGTGCTATTAGGCAGTGAAACTATAGACTAAAAACATGAAATTTTAGTTTCTGATATTACAACGCATGGGTGTCATACGATAACGTGATGTCCGTAGTGCTGTTTGTCATGTTTGCAATTGCATAAAAAAGTCATGTAGTACAGAAAAGGTGAGAAATTCAAACATTTGTAATGTACCCATGCGAAGTCGGTGCAGTTTGCCAGTATATATATGTTTGTTTCTATGTTTCTTTCTCAAGTATCTAAGTTTGAGACGAGTGGATGTAAAATAATAAAAGTATTTTTTTTTACCAGCTGCGGTCCATGCAACAAGAAGTTCACAAAGGCCCACCATCTTAAATATCATAACAAAGTCCACCATAAAGAACTCTACCTTCAGCAGCAGCTGGAGGCTGAAGCCAAGAAATTACGCCAGCAGATGAACGTCACCGGCCTCTCCGGGGTCCAGATCGTTGATGGCACGTTGCAGATTTTATCAAATACGGCTGAAGGTATCTTAATTTTTCATGTTTTATTTAATCCTAGTTTTGTTTTTTTTTATAATACGATAGTGGCAAGCAAGCATTTAGCCCTCTGATGGTAAATGGTTAACTGTCCGAGACTTCATTTTATACTATGTAAAGATGCGTAATACTTGTATATTCCTGATGATCAGTGATTTTAATTTTTTGTAATGTTCTGTTTAGAAGGTGACCAAGAAACACAGATGCAAGTAGTTGAAGAGCAAGAAGAAATTGAGGACTCTGAAGAGAAGGAAACAGATCGAGCAGTCGCTGGCATGCAAGCGGTAAGTTCATCTGGTCATGTGTGACTTTTAAAAGACCTTAGACTGTGTATTTTGCGAAACTAGTAATCTGTCCCGCCTTGGCACGTACATATGAACTAAATTAACCTGTTGGTGGAAGAAAACCTTTCAGTACTTTTTAAGATTATCGCGAACATAGCGACAGACTCAGCGTGGGGTCTGGTAAGTAAAAAATGCGAAATAATGTAGTGTAATCCGAATATGTGATCTAGAAAAAACCTACAACAAACATTAATACAAATGTTTGTACTGTGTTAGAATCTATCTTGTGAACATTGGAAGTAAACTGGCGAGCTACAGCGCTGTACCATCGAGTCCGTCGACATGGGGCATAACTCTAGGTAAAGTAAAGCGAGGCATAACTATAGTCCATCAGGCCCTATGTAAATGACAGATTAACCATAATAATTAATAAATCTGTGACTATTATTTAATTTGTTCCAGGTAGTATTAGATGCTGAATTTTGTGTTGAAGAAGAAGAGGACCCTAAAATAGAGTAATTAATTAAAATGAGACTGGCATATAGTATGAGCTTGTTTTTAACTCGATCTGTTGAAAGTACTTAGTGATTATGTATATAAGAATACATTTGATGTATTAATGTTTATATAATAATTTGTAGGTTATTGTGGCAAATAAAATTGCAAACGTTTAATGTTACTAGTTATTATTATTAAGGAAGACAGATGATACATCCCGATGGATGCACCATTGTTATAATAACGTAAACAGTTGATATCTGATTTAATGATAACAGACGGGTGGCAAATAAAACATGTTCAATATAATTCTAAATTAATAAATATACTCTTACAATCTGAAAAATGTAATTTAAAAGAATATTTAAATAAAATATATATGTATTGTAGTAAATTACGCAGATTTATATTTTAACGGCTATTACAAACCAATAATTTTCTCTCCACAATATTATTCGTACATTTAAATAAAACTATTATATGTTGTAGAGAATTTTTGTACACTATGGTTAAAACTTTCTAATTAATATCCATTTAATGAAAAGAAAAAAAAACTATTTACTTTTTTACGTATACAAAATGGCGATAATTTCGCTAAGTTTTACAGGAACTTCTCTAATTAAAACGGCTAAACATGATTCTAAAATCATGGGCAAAATTTGTGCAGTAATGCAAAGCGCCCTGGATCGCCTCTTCGATTGCCGAATCCATATGAGTGTGTGTATTTGGTTTTAGGAAAGTTAGAGAGCCGTTTTAAATTCTTATTTCTCCTTTATGAGGAAGTAGATATAACGAACTTGTACATAAGTATGGAAAAACTTAAGAAGAATAACTAATTCCTAGTTCTTAGGCAATAATGAACCTGGCATGGTCAACCTTGTTAATTTAACTCTAAAAGCTGTATTTACACTATGAAGATACTGACGCAATAGTAATTTTATTGTATAAATGTGGTTTGTAGTAAATATGATGATATTTAATGTTAATAACTTACTTATAATTACAATAAAACTATAAATCATGGATGTAAAATGGGTTTTATTTAAGAAATGGATAATTTTACCTTTATTTTTTTACTTCTTTAGACTACTTTATGTAGCTAACGCGAACATGTGATTTTTTAAAGTGATGATCTCATATACCACCTTCGCCGTTCTTCCGGCTAAGAGATGTGGAGTATGAAAATGTGTCTTAGAGAATATATTTCCACATGTTAAAAAAAGGTATATTGAGTACTATTTATTTTGAAGTTTTACTATGAAATATTGCTAATAATATACCACGTCAGGTAGACATCCACGCGGTTTTCCCTAGAAATCACATATGTAGTTAATACGTCACGACGGGCTAATTAAGCAGATCCCATTTTCATCCTATATTTGTTTTGTAAATCAATACTAGCTTCAGAAAATAAACAATATTTTATGTACCTTACCATTAAATTAACTGTACAATAAGATTTTAACCAACTTCCAAAGTAACCATTTTAATTTTTGTACATATACTTACATATTAATGCTTATTCCTGGTTACTTATCTTTATATCATGACCTTACATATACTAATATATTTATTTATATATATATACTTATAGGTACACAACAAAATAGTACCTAACAAGAGTAAAATACTCCCTCGTGAGTTTGTCCCCATCAGTTTTTAAATTCGCTAAGCGTCTCACATATACAACCTGTTTATATTATGAATGTACCAACATTTTATTTGCTTCGAACAAATTTTTTGCCAAGCCATTTTCAGCTTTAAACCCTAGCTAAAAAGTGGTGTGATCATTTCATGAGTTTTGATGTTAAGCTACCGTCCATCTGAAGGATATTAAAAGTTGTGCCACCCTTCTAAGTAGGAGCTCTTTTTTCTTTTTGTCCTTAATGTAAAAAGAAAACGCGAAAAGTTTTGGGACGCGGCGAGTTTAAATTTTTCCACCCTTAATGCGCTTATTACGAGTGGGAAAAAAATCGAAGGTTCTCAAACTGCTGCACACGATTTTTCTCACTCCGCATTTCTACAAAAACAGATAGACTGGTAGACTTGGTTTGACTGTTACAGATCAAAGCTTACAATTATTATTTCTGATATTAATTAGATAAGTGCGTGGCATAGATAATTATGATAAGGGGAGGGAAATAGCTACTCTGATGCAGAAATTTGTAGATAATAATCTGTAGAATGCATAGAAATATGTATCAGAACTAATTAGGCTTTCGAAATACCAGTGATACATAGATATTATATCTATAGTATGGGTTCCAGGGAGTCTTTACAAGAGTGCTTTAAAGAATTAAATGTCCTCACCGTTGCTTCTCAATACGTTTATAAAAATATCATCTATGCTAGGAAAAATATAGACAGTTTCAACAGATTGTGATTGCACTAATAAAAGCTTACGTAACAATAACAAACTGATTTTACCTAAATGTCGTTTGGCTAAAGTTAGTAATTCGTTTTATGGCAATTGCGCAAGGTTTTACAATAAAATACCAGAGTCTGTTATAAATCTGCCAGAAAAAAGATTTAAATGACAAATAAAACAAATCCTTTGCAAAAAAGCTTACTGTAAAATTGAAGAATTCGTTAACGATAATAATGTTTTTATGGATAAACTTTAAATCCATAGCACTGACAATATTATCTGATTACACTAATAATGAGTGCGTAGCGATTTCTATGTTGATTATCGCATGCCTCTTACTTGTTATACTGTAATTATTTATATAAAAAAACATCTATTAAAAAGAGCAACACACAAGTTTCTTGCTCATTCTTCTTGTGATGAATCTGCATTCCGAATGGTAGAGTCACAATATGAATATTAAAAAGTGCTTGTAATGAGTTTATTTGAATAAAAATGATTTCTATTTCTATAGATTACCAGTGAACCGCCTGCCTGGTGCCAATTGCAAATTTGTCTCCTTCTATTTTAATTAAAATAGAGCATTAGTAAAATTTAAAAAACAGCTTTTAAGTTACACATTATGTCAATTAGTAAAAAATATGTATGCACTTTTAGTATTTTTTTCCATAGAGTTCAATTGTTTAATTTAATAAAAATTAACATCCATCCGTCCCATTTGCTAGGCCGCGCGGTGTTATGATCATCAAAAAAATACCAAAAGTAAGTAAGTAGTAAATATTTTAAAGAAGAGAATAAAGTCTCATCATTAAAGTAAAAGGGGTTTTTAGATTTGTATTTACCTATAGTTTGCAATATTCAATTGTCGAATTATCAAATGAGTTAATAAGTACTTTGAGAGGCTCTGGTTAGCGGTAGAAGTGTCTATGTAGAGGAGAGTGAGCGGAGGGTCCCAGTGGGCGTTATTTCCATTTTTATTTTATTTACATCTAGTGAAACATTCGAAAAAATTCTGTTTAAAAATAAACAGACACCCGTAGATAGCTATGGTTCGCGTCGAGAGAAAACGCCATATTATACGATTTTTTTACGTTTATACGCACTAAGTTCATATATTAGTAGAATAATAATTTGAATTATTATATATTAAACTACATATAAGACATTCCGCAAATTGCTTCTCCATATAAGTGAATGTAAATAGTAAATCGCATTAGATATAGACAACTAGCTGTGCTCGCGACTTCTTCCGCGTGGAGCAGTGATCCTGGATAGCAATATTAATTATTTAGAATAAAAAGCAAAAAAAGTTTTATCGTTCTAGCTTCAAAAATGACGAATTTTCATACCAAACTTTCATCCCTTACGTTATTTTACACCCTTAAGGGTAAATTTTTTACAAAATTTGAATTACATATTTATTTATATTTAATCAGGTTCAGTAGTTCTGGCGTAAAAGCGCGACTGACAGACAGAGTTACTTTTGCATTTATAATATTAGCGCAGATAATATAATATAAGTAAGGATTGGAGAGACACATGCCATGCCTGATATAAGTGGCTAGCTATATGGATATGGATGCATTTTAAATAGTGCACTCACTTGCGCTAACGGTGTACGCTGGCGAGGATCTAGTGGAGGATGAACATGAAGTCAACTTTGTTAGTTTATGTGGTGATTTCACCAGAATTTGACTGTGGTCATTCAGATTCACTTCTAGTTTGTGAATGACTCTTAAGTCTGGCTTATTTCAGGGCTAATTTCAAGTAGATAGTACTGGGTTCTTAACGTGGCCACAACATTTTTCAGCTGTATCCACGCATATAAACACCCAGAACTGTAATAACCTGAACTCTTGACTAATTCGTCTCTATTTTTAGTATATTACTGGTGATGGAAACCAATAAAATAGCCCAATGAAATGTCCACAATTGACTATTGACTACCCTTGAATTTTGTTATGAGCATTTGGTTTTAAAAGTAACCTGACCCTATAATTGAAAACAAGAGAATTGTTCAATTGACAAAAGTATTTGTAGAATATTGTGGATCCAATTAAAAATCTCTCATGACCCTAAAATGGGACGCAAAGATAAACAAACAAACGCATAGAAAGTGAACGGTTTATTTGAAAACACAGATGTGAGAGCTATGTTGTAAAGGGATTGTTTTAGTAATAAGTAGACAACTAACATTATGTGCCACTGAAAATGCTGAAAGTCAATGCTTTCAGCATTTTCAGTATATTTCAATATTTTCATATTACTTATTAGGGGTTGTATCTATTTTTTTAATTCTTCCTTTTCTCTCATATCTATCCATAGGTAACTAAAGTTTTATTACTTCATAGGTAGGTATAGGTATGGTATTTAGCCCCGGTAATTTAAATAGAGATAAAGATTCTGAATACAGATAAAATAATACTGTGTAGGTACCTAAGTACTATTGACAACAGCGACGCCTGACCCCCATAAGAATCATTTTTCTGTGTATCAAGATTACCTACTTTTAGTTTTGTTCACCAATATTAGAATAAGTTTTTTTATTAATTAATTAATAATTAATTTACTGTAAAATCATAAAAAAAAATTATGATTTTACAGTGTCTGGCATATTAGGTAAGATATATATACCTAATATTGTTTAAAGATAAACCTTTACTAACAATAGTTTAGTACCTGCTATGTAGGTACTTATAAGTGCATTACATTGTATAGTTTAATATTTACAGAGATTGATGTAAGAACAATGAAATCAAAATCTAGAAGAACCATTAGTTCGGAGATAAATTTCCAAATTACCTTCTCGACCTGAGCCGATCAATTATGAATTTACAAAATTATATAAATCCGACTCAATGCGAGCAGATTGCCGCGAAATTATTCACAAAGCACCCCCGGCGTGGACTTGATGATATTGTATTAGGCGATCACACACGAATGCGATTTTAATGGATACTCGGATGCGACCCCTCGTAAAATATATTATAGCCTTATGCCGTACGCAATAAGAGCATAATTGTAACAGTCGTTGTGGCGTTTGTGTTCTTTGACTCTCCAAACGACTGGACCCCAATCTAAATTAAAATCTAAAACCTTGTAAACAAGGCAAGTGCTCACTTTTTCGGGGATTTTAACCCTCGGAATTAACGAGAGTTATAAAAGGGGGTCGTTACTGCGATGCAGTGGTTTTGTCTTCGAATGTGTGTGATGTGTAGGAAATATATCTAGAGTTCCACTTCATTTGACTTTTATTTTTAATGAGAATTTGGAATAAACTAAGCAGATTGATAAGTTTTTATCTTTAGTTCGTGTTTTAGTTGAAGGGTATATGATGATGATGAAATTACAGACTAGGTACTAAGACATGTTACCTCAGGTCTCCTGAATCTCATCGTATTAAGGTTATATAGCAACTTGTTGATATATGTTTATACCTATAGGCGATGGTTGCCACTTATTATCAGTTCGCCAGCTTTTTTGAACTTCCAATTAGGGACATAAAAAAACTATAAGGTTTTATAACAGTAAAATATAATACGCAAAAAATTACAAAAAAAAAACAGTAAAAATAGTTTAACTGTTGATTTCACTACAATATAATTTAAAAGAAGGTTAAGATATAACAAGACTATTGTTGTTGTCTATTAGGCGACAGTATGGCATCTCTTTAATCGGTTGGGGAGGTCTTCCAAGATCCAACTGGTGTAGCTCTCGGCAACAGAGGCTCTTTACGAATTCGTAATGATGTCAATGAGTGTTCACATTGAGGCTTCTCTGTTACTCTGTGTTCTGTTACTCGGCCACGTTGGAGATCTGCTAGATTACACGCCAACTCTGCCGCCGCTTCTCCATACAGCCTCTGGCCCCGGCGGACCTGTAGGTATATATAGAAAATATTAATTGTTAGTTCTTAAAGTAAAATATTAACCTATCTGCGGTTCTTACTCCGTTCATTCCGGGGGACTAATATTTACCTACGTCAGGCCTCTAAACCCTCTAATTTTACTGCATTACTTCACCCTTTAACCGAAACACATCTTATAACGCACGCTGCTTATCGGATAGGAAAAGAGAGACAGAGGTTTAGATATGCTGAATATGACTTAGATAGGCACGCATATCGACGATGAGCAGACGGTTACACAAAATCTACTTCAGTAAATATATATATATCTATATATATATATATATATATATATATATATATATATATATAATAATACTTATATAAATACATATATCTTATTTACTTCAGTAAGTAAATAATAATTCTTTGTTACTTTAATCAATTTATTAAAGTAATTATTTATGATTTTTAGATGATTAGTCTATGAATTAAACATTAACATTACCTCGTCTCGGAGTTCCGCACGACGCCTTGAAACCCATTCAATCTGCTCCTGCAGTTTCTTGCATTCTTTCTCGTTACCCAACAAGTCTTTGCGCAGAGACTCCATAATCTCACAATACTTGAGCTTCACGCCGTGGTCTATTGCATGCAAGTTGTCGATTTCGTGTTGGGTCTCTCGTATTTTGGACTTGGAAAGGCGGAGACGACCCTCCTTTAGTGATCAATTGAATTTGATAAATACTACAATTATTACAGTTGCTGACACAAAATTACTGGATAAAGAATGTGTAGGTATTTTGTACAAATTAATTAGAATCCTACATATCTTACTGTCATACAGCAGAACAAGGACAACTATATATATATATATATATATATATATATATATATATATATATATATATATATATATATATATATATATTATATATATATTTGTCATATAAATATTAGGTAACTTTATTTAATGTATAAGTAATTAATAAGTAATTGTTATAATTTATTTGAACATTAACACATTAAACTATTTTAATATCATGAGTACCTACCTTCTCTGCAAGTTTTCTGGTGAGTATATCGAGATGTTCATCAAGACTGTCTTTCTGCTCCACCTCGTAACTTTGAACCACGTTGTGATGGGGACAGAGCCGGTGTACTAGTTGCACTGGCGTGCAAGGAGGACATTCCTGTGTTAGCCGAAGAAGGTGAAGCAACTGGAGATATCAAATGAAATCTTTAATATAGAATCATAATAATACATTTATAAGCAATATATGAAGCTAATCTTGAATTTAAAATGAATTTGAATGTTTTAGCAAATATAGGTAAGTGTCGTTATTTCAGTATTATAGGGAGACCTAATTAGTGATTATTAAGAATGTAGGTACATTATTAGCGAAGTCATTTGGTCAACCTGCACGAGATCCTTCATGTAGGTATAAAATTCAACACTTGACCTGCCTTCACCCTTATCTTTCTCTCTGCTATACTGTTACGGTTAATGTAGTATTCCACTATTATTCATATAAAAACAATATTTAATTTATTTCATACCATGATGAATATCCAATGTATTTCAATTGTTTTAATCATTTTTATAAATGCAAAGTCGAGAGTAGGTTTAATTTATTAAATAATTGAACATGTAAAAACCAGACAGAATTTTAAAGATTTTAATTCTCTTAAGAACGAAATTATTACTTTCTAAGTCAAAATGAAAACATAAGTCATTGGAACTGTAGTGTTCTTGTATAACATCCGCTTCCAAAGACCTGTTAATAATCTGGAACTAAAATATTCTCAAATATGTACATAAATGAAGAAACACGTCTTTGTGAGTGTTGTGTACCTTGTATGACCTCCATTTCCACCTAACGAGTAAGAGTACGAGCACCAATATGACTCCGAGACTAGCAGCTGTGGCAGCATTCATGGTCACACCAAATGGTGCATACCATTATCAGTCGATGACGTGTCTAACACTTCGGCATCATCTTGAGGGTTGATAAATATTTAAAAGAACTCTATCGTCAAAAAACACACCTATGTGACATACGTTATATATACACGTTCGAAAATCGTATGCAATGACATTTTTGTTTTTCACTGCTTTTGTGAAAGGTTCAAACCTTTCACAACTAGTTTTGTAAAACAGAAACATTTCAAACACAAATGAAAATGATGTTCCCATCCGGCAGATGGCATCCTGCCCAGAAAACCAGAATCACACTTAAGGTAAAAATTGTGTTTTCAAACGATCCAAGAACCCTTTGAAATATACACACAAAATTTCATCCACATAGGAGCAGTCTAACAGGAAGAGTTCCAGTAATATGTTGATAAAATAATTTCTACAAAATTCAAGATTGTAAATAGATATTAGGCAACAAGGATTTGTCCGACATATTTAGCCTAGTTGACATACTTACAGTACTATTAAATGTTATAAAAAGCCAATAATTCTCAATATATTAATTATATTTATTAGTACCTAATGTAAAAGTAAATATAGGTACCTATAGGAAAAAAATATAGGTATACGAAGTAATAATTAAAAGAAAATGTAAATTTAATATGATAATAGGTAGGTCTTTTATGCATTTAGGTTTTTATTATAAATTTTTGACCTTTGATGATAATAATATATTGGAGATATACCTAATAATAAGAGATTTGAGTATAATTTATTTGTATATTAGTGCAGCTTTGTGGTAGTTTTTATGAGACTAATTTTTTTAAGACCCTCATTTATAATAATAAATTCCATTGCGTTTTACAATTTCAGAAAGTTGTAAAAATAATTTTTGTTTATTTTAACAAATACTTTTTCCAAATAATATCTAAACAACAAAAAAAAATGTTTTACAGGCGTGTAAAGCTAAAAAATAATCACTTCTGATTACAATTCTTACGACTAATAGTCTTATATTTTTTAATATTTTGTAACAATATAACTGCAAGAAAGCAAATAGTTAGGTAGGTAGATAGAGCTCAAATAATAACACTACATATATCTCTTGAGTTTCCAATCTTATACAATGAGACAAAAGCTTGGATGAAACTGTATTCAATCTACATTTATATTTATACTATGTGTATGTATAATTAATTAGGAGTACCCTTGCAGGCAGCGCTCTACCGGGGCGCGGGTTCGTGTCCGGTGACAATGGTCCAGCCATCCATCACCCGCTGTCGACGGCTCAGGTGTCGAGATGTGATGGCCCGGATTACATATTTTCATAGAAATATACATAGAGTTTGCGTAGGTTATTTGGAGTAAATTAATATATAAATAATAATTATAAATATAAATATCTTTAATGGATTTTTACGTGGATTTCTTACAATCGATTGATTTTTAAATCGTCAACATTCTTGAGAGAGCCTTTAATATAGACTCTTGTAGTTAACAATATCTTTACATCTTCATACCCTGAACCATGTGTCTGTATTTTTTTTATATTTTGAATATTGCCATAAGATTCATCGGCGTTCATTTATATTTTTACGCTAAGTAAGAAGTAAATATATTACATGATGTCGATCAGTCACGTAATGGGAACCCACCCGGCCCTAGCGGGGTGGAGCGGGCAAGGCAATTACGTTCAGATACGGCGAATAATTGAAAGGGGATCGGTTCCTAATTGATTGTTTCTGGACGACTGATTGATATGATAGAACGATTACCAACCGGCGTGATGGCGTGGCTAATGTGTAATTAGGAGATATTAGGTTCTCTAGGTATGTATTGATATATGTTTATTATAAACCCTAAGTACCTACAATCATACATTATAATCGTAGTACAAAAAAGTAATGGATAACTTGTGGCTATAAATAACCCTTGAATATACTGGGACTTATTTTAGAAACTTACCTATTAAAGTCGAGCATTCGTTTCCATTTGTCCGCCTATCTGCTTACCTTTTATTAGATACACACGGACAGTTTTCACAGATTCTTCAGGAATTAGGTAAAGGATTTATGTGGTATTTTATAGAACCGAATGGAATTGGCTCCAAAGCTAGCAATAGATTTGGAGCCAATTCTTTATTAGAATTTAGATTATATAGATATCGAATAAACAGATTATCAATCTTTGCATTGAGACATACAAAGACTCCTACAATTGACGGATTTGAATAGTACCATCTAATATAAATTAAAATAATTATAAATTAATATAAATAGCAACAGCAGGTCCCTTAACTAAACATAATAATGGGTATTAGAGCAAATAGCTTTAGGTACCTACTTGGCGTAGACAAAGGCTGTGAACAGGGTAGGAATCCCTGAAAATCTGGTCAAAGTCGATAATCTACTTATACGTACTTATACGTATAGAATTAAACTGACAACACTGATACAGTTTTATATTAAGAAAGGAACCTTAAAAACCATAGCCATCATAAGGACGGAATTACCGCCACATTTGATGTTAAACGCTGCGTCCAACTCACTCATTCATTCACTCACATGTTCGTTCCGTTTCACTTGCCATGTGATCAAAGCGCTGCGTCGACGTCGGCATAGTTTACTTTAGATTTACAGCTTACGGAAGCTAATTAGAAGGGAACGGTATGGAAGTGAGCGCTCGCAAGGCCCACTAGTAGTCACGAACCGCACTTGCAATGGAACGTAACCGTTCAGAATATTTATGTGATAAATCTTTTTAAATTTGAAATAGGAATTTAAATCGTAATTTCGTTTTAAAAATTCTCGAGGATAAGTAATAAATAGCACTATATTAATATCTAACGATCACAAACAATTCTACCATTTTCAAAGTCCCGTAAATAAATTGTGTAGATACCTATGTAAAGTAAGTTTACAACAAGTTAGGAGATAGGTAATTTAGATTATTATCTTGTGTTACAAAACTATAATATATTATCTATATGACCATGTATTACACGCTTTTAAAGGTAACAAAGAGTAAGTACCTAAGTGATAGTACAAACGTAGAAAGTCGTTTCGGATTCAATAACAAACTTACTCTATTTCAATTGAGGCGATGTTTATAAATGTTTCTAATTAAGAAGTTTTTGTTGTGGATTTAACACATTAAAATCACATTTCTCACATATTCGGGCACGTTCCGCGAGATCGCCCGTGACAATGTTCACGCTGCGCCAGCGACTGCGGCACTTTTTGTCCCATAATTTGTAACTAATTAATATACAAAAAACTATGTTTCTTTAATGGTTTGACATGTGGCAGTTTTGGAATATAGTGGGAACAAAATGTAAAAGTCAAACGACTAAGAGTCGGTACAATCACTATAATAGGTATAAAGTACCTATAGGTAAGTATCTACCGTCAATCGTCCTTATTTCACCTTACTACTTTACAACTTTTTTTCCTTATTTTCATACGTAAAAAGATACACCTATGTATCTATATAATTTTTGTTACTAATTAAGTATTTTTATTCAATTTAGACCATTCAATGTAAATTGGCTAACTGATGTAACCCTTGATATTTGACACGGTAATATAGTTACGTGTGTAATACTATTTATTATATTTATATATATTATTATTATATTTGCACTTTATTAATCAACCTTCTGAAGAATACCTCTGTGCCTCGATGGACTAAATTCAAAATGGCTGCCAGAGGCGTTGGCGCGGTTTCTTTCCTCGTATTACTAACATTACCATACTTCAGACGGCGAGCTTATTTAAATGCTCCACCGACTCCATTTAGAGCTTGGAAAAATAAAACTGGGGAACAGATCCCGCGATCTCGCGTTGAGCCGCTTTTGTGGTAAATATGTATAAACTAAACAAATGTCGTTTACAGTTTCATTTTAAAATGTATCCAGTATTTTGAACTTTATTTCTACGAAGTTAAAGGTGCATCACGATTGCGTAGAAATGGTTTTTAAGTTGGTAGCTCTATAAGCATCTACGTTTTGTCGTCGGCATCTTTTTATTTTATCGCATTTTATTTGGGAGCTCAGCTGCCGGTCGTGTTGTTTGCGACTGTTGAATATCGTTTTTTCGTGTAGGTAGGTATATGTTAAAAACGTGAAGTTGTTTGTGAATTATAAATTGAAGTTAGTGGAAGAAAATATATAATAATCACCGAAACGGAATAATGCTATGATAATATTTCCTATAGATAGGCACAGTACCAGATATCTACACCGCGCTAATAATAGGCTGTGGGATTCCAATATCCATATCCAGTAGGTATATACCTACCGCGTAATAATAAGTTGGCTATTAAAAACAGCTGTTGCAATCACATTTTGCTTTGTTGTCAAGAGTGTTCAATTCAACCTTAGTTCCTTCATGATGACCTATCTACATGAAGTGAAGAAATATTTGTATGATTGACAATTTTATTTAATGAGTATCGATTTAATATTAAATACATATATGACTACCTATATCTAACTACCTATTCTAAAATAGGAACGAATCTGTTTTTATGTTCAAAGAATAAATACACATAGATAGATAGTATTTTATATCTAACAATAATTATTACATATTAACAAGGACAGTGGGGGAAATAGGCCACCTATGTTTTCTACCTATAACACAAATTCTAAAAAATAAAAGAACGCCACAAATAAAAAGACAAGATTAGGTATAGCTTAGCAACGTACAATATCTGAAGACAATTTCCCATCCATCAAGATTATTTGAATATAAAACAAAGCAAAAATTAAGTTAAACGATTAAAAAGGAGTCCCGGGAGCTGGATGTTTGAACAGCGATTCCATTATCTGAGTTCCTACTTACACATAAAAGATAAAGCTGAATCGCCGCCAATTTTGTTCCATTACTCTCGAGCGCCTGAGAATACATATTATCCGTAAAACGGAAGGCAAACAAAGTGAACGTCGTTACCAAGCCAACGATAACTTAATTTCAGTCCGCCATAAGTACGTAATTAGCGAGCCGCTGCCTTATCGCCAGGCGGGTAATTAACCTCTCACGGGGGCGCCCACCCATCCCCCTATATCCTCCCGGCGCACCTTGAATGCCTCCTCTCCTCGTAATATTTCCGCCATATTATCCGGGAGTCCGCCCACCTCCTCCGCCAATGGCGGCAGTTCCCGCGCTTTTGTTT